CATTTGTCCCCACTGTCAGTAGCTACTGCCTGTTTGTGGAGACTTCTATAGATAATGGAGAGATACTGCTCTTGGCACACCACTGGCACTGTGTGATGCCAATAACCTGGCCTGCAGAAGACTGGTTCAACTCTTAGTCCAATCAAATGAGCACTCACTGATAAGAGCCTCCAGATGGATCTCCTGAGAGGTGGAGAAGGCACGGCTGCTGGTAGTACTAAAACCAAGAGCGCTTCTGCCTTACTGCCTTACTGCCTTACCCTAATGCTTCCTATGTCTGAGCTCCAAGCACTGCCCTTTCAGATGTCTCTTATTTTGTCGGATCAAACGGCTGCCTCAGAAACTGCTTAGGCTTCAGGGAATGCCAGGAAGGAATGGCATTAGACAGAAACTAGCAGTAGCAGGTAGTGGGATGAAAATGAGTTGTGTGTCCCTTCTTTCTGCCCACGCTATGACTAAATGCAAAGAAGATCATGCCTTTCCATGAAGACTCCCATGCAATGCCTCAGAAGTTCTCTGACATCCCTCCACTGGGACAATGTTGGCACAACATGCAACATTAGAAGGACAGCATCCCTTCTGAATGTGGCAGCACACGTTGAGGAGATCAGCTGCTCTCAGATTTTGTATTGGTAATATCATGCTGGTTTCCAAGTCAATCTAATAAAATCACTTTAATCCTCTTGCTTGGATGCCTCTATTTCAGTGCAAAAGGAGCTCATGTCATTGAAGCTAATTTCCATGCACCCTAGCTGCTTCTGCAGGTGCAACTGTCGCTTTCTGGAGAGGAACAGAGAGGAGGTTTTATCCACCCAAACAGCAAAACAGTAGGAATACAGAATCGCGTGTAGATTAGTTTGAAAAGATGCCACAGCAACAGAACTGCTGAAAAAGGCACCTGCATCTCTTCCCTCTGCTTGCTGGTAACAGCCAGCAGGAAGCCAAAATTGGACCAAGGAAGAGGATGGAGAGACGTCAAGCTGGCCAGTAAACGCTTTTCAAATGAAGAGCTTCCATCATACTGATAGAGGTTGGATTTTAACCAGTAGTATAATGGCAAAATTACTTTCCATTATCCATTTTTCAGACTGACTGATTTCAAATACTTTTGAAAAAAATCTAAGCTTTTTTGAAAATCTGCTCCTGCTGTGAGTCCAGAGCTCTTCTGAAAATATTGGCCTTAATAGCTCGGTGTCCCCAAACTCCCTCTGTATAATAGGAATAATACTTCTTTCAGTCTTCTTTGGGACTGCATATGACTCTTTCCAAACACATCTGTACATACTGTCATTATCACTGGGTAACAATTTCAATGTGTGACAGTCATTGTAAATAAGAAGGAACATTATCTTTGAATATTAACAGAGGTGAGATGTATTGCATACAACAAATCTGGATCTTCCAACTGCTTGGCTGAATACCGTATTTGTTTTATTGGGGACAATGGACTTTGTGCACGCCCCATGTTTTGCTAGTATCAGTCATCTCCCATCCCCAAGACATGACAGCAATGGCATGGAACCAATCTACCAGAAAGAAGACCTTACCTGTCCCTGCTCTGACTGGCAGCCAGTTGGCCACCACATAACTCAAACAGAGAAAAGGCAATAAAAAGAGACATCATACCCAGACCAAAGTGACAGTTAAACTCCTGTGCAGATTCCAGCAGTTTCGCTGGGACTTTAAATCACTAAAAGCTGCTGTCAGCAACTACATGTGATTTCTGCAGCACACCCCTCCCCACCCCCTGAAAGGACCATAAAGCCCCAGGCTACTGACTCAGTGGAGGGAGCAGATGACAGTGCTATCTGGGGCAGGACTTGGCTTGAGGAGAGTGCCATCACGATTCCTTATTTTTCATTTCCAACTAAGTTAGAGCTTGTGAAAGGTACTGGACTGACATCCCAGGAGAACAGCCGCCTGCTAATTAATTATAATTAATCATCCAGGCATTAGTTAATGTTTGCATAGTGCTTTGAACCGCCAAAGCACAATATAGCAGGTAGAACTCAAAGGAACAGGTATAGCAGTAGATTCGCCGGCATGGCTTCCCAGTGACTCTGAGACCACTCCAACCCAACACACATAAGTGGCTCCACTGTGTTATCTGAAAGACCTGCGGGTACCTCCAGCCCTCAAAATGTCCACATGATGTCCCACATGCCCCAGGTTCAGGGGCTTGGCTGAACCAAGCCATGCAGAACCAGGGGGACGGAGGCCCAATGCTCCCCCTCCATTTCTATTCTCAGCCCTCCAGCCCAGCTGCTCCCTAATCCTAGCTGACAGCTCCCTCGCTCTCTGACAGAGCCCAGGCCGATGTCATCTTCCTGGACATTTGATTTTAGGAGTTTGCCTTTCTCTGCCTTGGCTGGGGCCTGCCATTCAGCTGCCAGAACAAAAGGGGCCCTGTCACCGGCATCCTCCTTGCGGGGGCACAGGGGGTGCCCCCTCCCCAAAGGCACAGCTGTAAATCCTAGAGCTTAATTTTTCACTGCACGCATAGTGAACATTTCAGAGTGCTTACAAATCCCCCCAAGCACCATCAAGTCAAGCAAATGACAGTAACAATCAGTGGCAGAATGACAGGCCAGTTCATACAAATTGCACTTTTATAGGGGCACTTAAAAAGCCTTCTGTTGTCCCCCCTTTACAGAACTGTGACAGCGTTTATCCAGAAAGTACAAAACTATGCAGATATTTGGCTCTCTGGGAACAAGTGCTGGGTATCAGACTGATTTCTGGTAGTTTCCTGACTCTACATGAGCACAATTACCATGCTCATCGAGGGCTGATGCCATCTGAATAACAATAATAATAACAATCTGCATCCCATTCTGCACTGATTGCTTCTTGTTGTGCCTCTGCTCACCCTCCTTCCCTCACCTCTCTCCTGTACCCAGTGTGGGGGCAGGACAGTATTGCAGCATCATTTTTGCTGCAGCCTCCACTGAGGGGTGAAATTCCCCAGAACCAGGTCCTAGCCACTCAGCATTAAGTGTAGGGAGCAAAGGGAGACCTATACACTTACTCTCATACCTGCTATCCTCAAGATCAAATAGTATTGTAATGGGTAACTCTTCTTTTTTTTTTTTTTTTTTAATGACTACTGGAATTATGAAAGATACAGATGATTAACCTATTCACTACTGGAAACAAAAGGTAATATATAATGCCACTTTGCTCCCTGAAACCCCACAAGTTGTAAACCTCTGCCCAGTATAGCAGATGGGATGTACCACAGGAAACCCTTGCACTCCCACTGCAGTCAATAAGGGCTACAGCTGGAGCCCAAAGGATTTTAGACCCTTCAGGAGAAAATGTTTCCTTCAGTGCTGCTGAATATACCACGTGTGAAAGTAAGCAGCAGATGATTGTGGTCATGTCACTGAATATGCCTACTTGCGACAAGGACCAATGGTATCTCTACGGTACAAAACCAATTGAGAATTCACTTCCATGTTTCTCTGATTATGAATGAGGAAAATCGTTTGTTCTGTATCATTTCCACAAATGTCAGAAATTTTACCTTGCAATTATTGTTTTGACAGTTTTTTTTTTTTTTCCCCCTATCCTCTGCTGCTTTCTCCACCCTCATGTTCCCACAGCAGAGGATTCTGCCCCTTCACAGCATGTCCACAGAGACAGTCGATTCAGCATCCAGGATAAACGAGGGGGTGGAAATCTCCACAGGGGTTGTGGGAAGTGCTGCTGACAGAAGAGAATTGGCTCTGTCAGGGGCAGCTCCTACAGCCACTTGTTCTTGCTTCAGCTCTTCTACCTAGAAGTTTCCTTCCTAGTATTTATGTTGAGTGCCAAATCAACTTTCTGTGTGCCTCTGTTCTAACTCACAGGTCAGGAAAAGAAACAAAAAGAAACAAAAAGAATCATGAAGAATATTCTTTTTTAAAGAGCATTTTTTTTCTCCTCTCAAATTCGTTACCAGAAAAATGCTCCAGAGCTGCACACTTAGCATAATCTCAATGCCATTTCATTCTTTGCCACTGTACTTGTAAAGTGACAGCTAGTATCAGTTTGGGGAGTATTTTCTACGAATCGAACAATTAATTAAAATGGACTGTACTAAAAACACCTCTATTTCACAAGAATCTCTGGACAGGCTTCACTTCCTAATAAATTTCGTTGTTTGGATTTGAAGTGGTGGAATAGAATTGAAAAGCACTATTTTGTATCATCAGTCCCTTAGATTATAAGTACTCTTGCAAACTCCATGTGATACTTAGAGAGTACTACCCTCAACTGGCACTTACTGAGAGCCAGGAAATTAAGGAGAAGTTCATCAGATGAAGTTAAATTGCCATAATTTAACTTAATAGTAGAATGAAGATCATCTATTGCACCCTAGTTTTACCTAGTCTAGGTAAAAGAAATGTCTGACTGTGATTTGAAGGTATCTACAATGCAGCCTTCTCTCAGAAGCAATTACTACTGAAAATGGTAAAGTTTCAAAAGCTTTTGGGTTTTGAGGGAAATACTGTCCTTTACATGTATTCCAAGAGTAGATGCAGAGTCTGGTGAAAGTCTGTCAAATGAGGATCAAAACTCAGATAGAAAGAGAAGTTTAGAAATCTAATATATGTGTTGGAAATCCAGCAGCAAGCCCATTCCACCACCAACAGAAGTTATTTTTCAGCTGAGATAACAATAAAGATGTAGGAATGTGCTGTTCTTTCGAAACAGTTCAAAACTTGCACAGATTTCTCAACCTGCTCGTGCTCCAAGGAAATAGCCAGTCAGTCCACAAAGTCACTGGCACTGAAGATGTGAAGTTTCCAATCAGACCGCCAGTTTCCCTTTCAAAGACATGTCAGCCATTTGTACCTTTTCCAGTGTTCTTTGTTTAGCCTAGTTTTCAACATGACAATCATTTGTGGCTCCCGTCACTTCCATTGAATGACAAGAAAACAGCTCTCAACTCCCACTCTCAATACAAGACAGCACCATTTCATTCAAGAGAGGAAGAAAAGCCAGAAATTTCCTACCTGCAGCAATACCCATCTTCCCATCGACAGATACAGCCACTGCCGTGCTAACTGTCACCACTTTTGGTAGGCCGCCGCCCTCTGTCAACACACAAGAACAGCAGACTTGGTTAAATTCACCACCAGAGATAAGGAAAATGCAGCAGGATTCGCATACAGGTCAGTGCATACACATGCCTCAGCACTGAAGGATCCAAAACTTTGGAGGAATACATCTTCCAAACCGTGCTAAGAGACCTGAAGGGCTAATAAATAAGGAGACTGGTTTATCTCACGATAGAAGTGGTATCCTCAGCATCAAATGTAAAGGACCGGCCTCTTCCAATCTGAACAGGCAGAGCTCTTAGGCCAGAAAGCTGCTTTGCTTCACATACCAGCTAAGCTTTGCAGGCAAAGAAGCAGGACAGGGAATTCTGACATTGGCCCTACACAGCAAAGGCCGTGCTTATGTTTAGCTCTGCTACCCAAGACAGACTTGCATTACAAACTGGAGAGACACAGTACTCAGTGTACTTCCAGAGTGCAATCCATTTTAGAAACAAAGTCTTGTGGGATGTGTTTGGCTGTCTAAACTTTGTTATGCCCAAGGGTGTCCTGTTTATGTTTTAGTTGCTCTTTCAAGTGTCCCTGCAGGTCCCGTGTCCCATCTGCCAGCCCCATGCAGATCTCTTGTGTCCCACAGGGCAATTAAAATAGCATGGCTGGATAGATTTAAGCAACTGAGCCCCATGTCCTCTGTCTTTGTTAGTGCAGTTGTTTCAGCCTGCAATTGCCCATGTGACAGATTCAATTTTGTATTTTTAAGTGATTAGGTTAGCTTCAGCTGGGGCACCTATTTTGAAACTGCCAGGGAACAATTTGAAGGTCAGCATGATCGATTTAATGTGTGACTGTCTCCTTCCTCGCATGCTGGATGGAAAACTCCTGCTCAGATGGATGGGTTGGGGATCCTTTCCTTCCCAAGAGCTCAAGCATTTGTTACTGTTCCATTTCTATTGTCATTGTTCTTGTTGGTACCCAGCATATCCTGAGCATGATTCAATGGCTACTGCAGTTTAGTCTGGAGTCTCACTCTTTTTTTTTTTTTTTTTTTTAACTGAAGTCAGGTTAACTTGTTAAAGGATGTCAGAAGAACTGGTAAAGCCTCTGTGAAACAAAGACCCAGCCAACTTATGCTGACATGCCTTGCTCCTGATCATGCCTTTATGGTGAATCCCACATTTCTGGCTCTGGAATGGGACAAATAAGCAAAACACAACAATAAGCAAAAAAGCCCAACACATGAGAGATCTGGGCTGCAAGAACAGTCCTACGTAGCCTGCAGAGCTTTCCCTACTGTCATGTCTGTGGGACCTCTGGACTCTGGAAGGAGGTACCCTGGATAAATTACTCTGATGACCTGCAGCTATGACTCCTCCCCAGCACAGGAGTCATCAGGCTCTTGCCTCTTACATGATCAGAAGAACATCTGCAGTGAAAACTCCTTGTCACATGGTGGGCATATACAAACTTGTGGAAAGCATGGAAAGGGTATTTAAGAATGTAATCACCAAGAACTTCCTGAGAAACTGGGTGGCCTGTTCCGGCCAAAAGGTCTGCTTCTAAGGATGTCACATGAAATGCTCAGAGTCTGCTTTAAGTAAGCACAGTAGCTCAGGGGAACTGGGTATTATTTTCCAGACTCTTCACAGTCATCTTGAATCATCTCATAGATCACAGTTTCACTAGGCTGAACTGTTCACCTCTAAAGTGACTAATAATCACCTCTACAGTTTAGAGCATAAAGTATTCAGGAGCAGGCATTACTTCTTATAATGTGCCTGACCCAGAGGGCTCTATAGAGTGTTCCTGCTTGTTTTTCTAGCCCAATGTCTATTTCAAAGAGCAAATGCTGTTGTGTGCAAGGTTTCTCCTGCCATGCCTCCCTCTTTCTCTTGCCACTTAAGTGAGATATAAAGGTGCTATGCAGAGAAAGAGGCTTTTGTGGAAGTTTTCAAGTATTTCCACCTTGCACCTCTCTTTCTTTACGTCTTGGTTCATCTCTTGCCTCCCTGTGTTGTTTTCTCCATTTTGCTACTTGCTTTTCCACCCACCAGCCACCCACCACTGTGCCACAAAAAGCTTTGACAGCTAAAGTGCTGAGCTCCGTGACAGAGACTGAGTGCTAGGGGCTGGGGAGCAGAGGGGATTTCCACCTTCTGTGTAGGAGTTTCATAAGAGGGTTTTGTTTTGATTTTTTAATTTCCAGGCTCTTCTGCTCTCTTCCAGCCTTTGAGGAAGTCCTGGCTGGCTCTGCAAACTCACAGGAATCAACACTCTAAGCAAGAGACACCAAAAAGCCACTCCTTGCTTTTCTCTGGTGTTTGAACTCCTTTGCTAAGTATGAAGTGATATAGTCGAGTAATGTGATGGAGGGGATATGGGGCACCAATGGCACACCCTCACTGAAGAGGAAACAATGGAAAAGCACTCCTCCCTTTTCCTGCACCTTCTTCCCTAACAAACCCATCCCTTCCTGTCATAGAAAGCAGTGATGGAAAAAAAAAATGACACTCTGTGAAGTCAATTCTTGAGTGTTTGCTGATTCTTTGTCAGTCCTGGCCATTGCTCTGATGGCTCTGACCCTCTGCCAGCACTCAGGACGTGCAAAACCTCTGCAATTCTCACCATGCGAGAGAGGCAATAAGGGGATCGGAACGAGCCCAAAGCTTTCTCTTCTTTTTTTCTTGCATTCAAGCCGAGGTTACCTGAGTCATCTTCTGAAACGATGCTGTAGATGAAGCTCCCAGGGGGATGCTCGGCTGCCCGGCGGTACCACAGAGGGAAGTGGTCCATGGTGAAGATACTCTCTTTGTCCTTCCGAGTCAGGAATTTCCTGCCGGAAGAAAACGGAGAGTCGCCTTTTGCACAGGGCAGCTCTGCTCGGGGAACTGCCTTCTGCAAGTCCCGGGGACCGGCAGCCCCCCCTCCTCGCCCCCCCCCCGCCAGGCTCCCCGACGCTCTGGGGCCAGCGCGGCCGCCGCGCCGCTGCCAGCCGCCCGCCAGGTGCCGCTGTTGCCCAGGCCGAGGCCCGCGGCGCCGCCACCGCCCCCATGCCAGCCCCGAGGACGGGCGAGGGGAGGTCGCGGCCCTGCGGGTGGACAGCGCGGGGATTGCCTCGGCTTCTGGGCTTGCCAGCGGCACTGAGCGATGGGAATACGTCCCTCTCCTCCTCCTCTACCTCTCTCCTGGGATGATGCAGCGTGGGCCGCCGTGCGAGAGCGCCGGGCAGGGGCAGGGGGAAAACGAGGTGCTAGATATTGAACTCCTAGCGATGCCCGGATTGAAGAACCTGAAGAAATGGGTGCTTCTGAAGACCAGAGCATGGGTGCTGGGGGCATGGCCTGCCAGGCAGCTCAGGAGAGCCCTGGAAAAAATCAGGTCATTGCCTTCCCTGGAGAGCTCTCCTTCCTGGCTGACAAATCCCCTTTGTTTTCAGGCTCTCCTTTCGCTGAACGTTTTGTCATAACAACAGTTACTCATTTATACAATTCCTTCCTTTCAAGAGATCCCAAAAGTGCCTCTCCTGTGACATGTGGGGATCTGTCATTGAAATGTAGTGACTACAACTGTTCAAGCACTGAGCAACGCTCCTGATGAGCAGCGTGGGGTACTGAGTTATTCTATTAGCTTTCTGCAGCACTCTTTCTTCCTTGACACCAAAGCCCGAGTACTCCAAGTTATCCAAGACTGTCTCAGAAACAAGGTGAGAGTGGCTGTCGGGGTGTGCACTTCAGGCACAGTGCAGCTCTCTGCTTTTGACATATGATTCATATCTGAGAAAGTGGGAGATAGTGAAACACCTGCCAAGAAGCTAAGGACCACCACCACCATCCTGTTGTTCCATCTGCCTCTGCAACCTGTCCTTTCATACAGCAGCATGTTATCAGTCTGCATGTTCGAAACTAATCAACAACAAAAATCTATGCCCTTTCTATGTCAAAAACCTCCACTGAACGTGCACTTTTGCCTTAAGGGAGGGGACAAGAGAATGAATCATATATGACAGATGCCAGTCACATCACTTAATGCATCACTGGAAGATACTGGGATAGTAATGTGATGTGGGCCATGTGAGACCCAGAACAGAATAAAACAGAGAGGAACTGAGACAGAAAGATCAAACCTAGCCAAGCTGGGATGTCACAGGGCAGTGGAGTGCAGAGCCTTTACATTACAGAGTGCTCCTGGGGATATATAATAATGATGGGCATTTTCTCTGTTAGCTGACTGAAGTCAGGGAATAATAGAAGTTTCTTATTTTACAATGAAATTAATGCACTTTGGGACAGCACTTCAGGAAAAAAAACATCAAAAGGACCAGAGCAACACAAAGGACCTGTACCCTGATTCTGCAAATCAGTTCCCATGCCACCAAGGTCTTGCTTCTTTTCTTTCTGTGTCCTTAAGTACATTTCTAAGTCTGGGAGTGGTTTCAGAGATACCTTCAGAGACGCAGAGAAATCCCTTAGTGCAGCTTAGGGACTTACTTGTTAGAAAGTTTCTCAGAGCCCACATACAGGGCGCTCCTCATGAGTCCAGCCCGAGTGCCCAGAAATGCCATCTCAATCCCTGCCTCAGACTCCCTGTGGAATAAAAACACATTAATGACAGCAAGTATTTACTAGCTAACAATTGGCAGGCTTAGACTTGTGCCTGGATTGACACACTGGAAGCTTGCTCATTTGGTTCTTTGGAAGTAGGAAAGATAGCTAGCTCTGCTCCAGGCTGCCTGCATGTAGGTTGAATCAAGGAAGACAGACTGCAGGGAGAAAATGGCTGTCTCAGGCATACACAGGGCAGGAAGGGTAGCAGGCCAACTGTAGATTGATTTGTATGTGGTTTTCTGGAGTTATGAAGGGCACTGGTAGGAGAGCTGCACAGTGAGGAGTCTGCCACAGTGTGGTACGGAACAGATGAGAGATATTTTCTGGTGTAGCTGCTGAAGGATGGTGCTGGTATTTGGGTGTTTTAGCACAACTGCCCTGGCTCAGTCTTCCTCAGCAGTAGGGATAGTGGTAACTGCAACAGGAACAGGAGTGCTGTGGCCACACACCTCTGTGAGTAGCATGTTGTTTGCTGAAAGTAGATCTGTGTGACACGATACCAGATACTACAAGCATCAGGTGCCTCACTGGGAATAATAAAGAAGAATGTTTGCTGAAGCCAGCCTTTCCTCTTCCTTCCTGAGTCTCAGTTCTCATCAGGCATCAACAACAGAGACAAGATCAAACTCTCTTCTCCACTGCTGGTAGGGAACAAATTCCATGCCAGCTGGGATGGAGCTTTTGCTACAGTCATATGGAAGTCAATCCAAACCATGTTGCTGTCATTCAAAGGGATAACTGGTGCATAGGGAAATAACTCATACTAATTTTAAATTGAAGTAGTCTCAAGTGCCCTGAGATCCCAAACTGTCAACTACAGAGATAAATGCTGTGCATCCAAGTTAAACACGGCGAAGAACTGATGCTGAACACCCCCTGCAGTGACACATCTGGATCACTGTTGTCTTCCAGTAATAGTCAGACATTTGGCATTAATATTCTGTTACCAAAACAAGCCCTCACCAAACTATAGGCTTCTTTTAGAGGGCCCAACCAGCTGGAGTTTTCTCCTGAGAGACACTTTTGAGCTATTTCTAAATCTACTGAGCTACTTCTAACAGCTTTTTCAGCTATTTCTAAAGTTTCTTATATGCTTTGTGGGGATCTGTGACTGTTTTCCACACCATCTGGAAACACAGCTTCAACAGTGTGTTACACATATTTATTTCTCAGTCACTTACGTGGACATATTGAGGGCCAGTGTTGTCCAGTAGGCTTCCATGGGTGCAGTGACCACTGCATCAAACAGCACTTCCTGGACCAATTCCTCATCGCCTACAGAGGAAGGTGAACAAGAGTCAGAAGAGAAAGACATGTTTCCCCATAGATGTCTCAGAGGGTTTCTTGTTGTGGACCATCTGCCTGACCCAGGGCAGTGGAGCAACAGGCACAAATGAGGCCTCCATTTGTAGGACTGAAAACATGACCTACAATCCTAGATGGAGAATAGCACAGGACGAGGTGTTACAGCTCAGATTATAACACTGTTTCCCCTGCAAACTCAGTAGAAGAGTTTAGGTTTGAAAGTGTAAGCAAATGAGAGGTTTTCAAATGAAGTTATTCATCAGGCTTTGCCTCAGATTCCTGCCTTAACCTTTCTTCTGGGTGGCCTGTTGTGAGGACACCATCCACTCCATTCCACTCAAGAAGATTTCTTCAGAGCCCCTAGTGACTTCTTGATAGCCTTTAGTTAACCACCTGTCCTTACTATGGGTTTCACAAAATGCCCTCCTGTCGTGGTTTCCCCCAGACACCTGACCAGTCTAGATTACCAGTTCAGTCCACTCTGCATTGGGTCTTAGAGACGTTTAGAAAAGTTTGAGATATCATTATGTGCTAAAATGGTATAGTCTAAAATCCCATTTATTTGACCTGCTTCATTTCTATGCTGCCTTATTTCCATTTGTCTCACACCATGAGGACGTGATGGCTATCATATTGCTGTTCTAGGCAGAGCCATCCCCTCCGTTTCAGTGTTTCTGGCTTCACATTCTGGCTTGAGCCTGCAGGTATCCCCTAATCTTTCTTTATCACAGTTTGCATGATACATTTCTCCATCTCCCTGTCATTCAGAACTCAGAATCAGAGGTCACCAGCTGATCTTTCCTTCCTCAGGCCCTACATGCCTAGGTTGTGTCCCAGTCATATTTCTTTTTCTCTCCCAGCACTTCCAATCTGCATGCTTCTCCCAGTCAGCTCTCCCAAAACTTTCCTCCTTCTTCCTGGCCTCTTCAGCTGCTACATCTCTTTTCAGCTTCCTCCAAAACACAGTCAGGAGGGGTCTGTTCACACAGTATAAGAGAGGAGCAATCATCACATTACAGATTACATTTAGGTTTAGTTTTAAGAGATTCAAATCCTTGAAATCCTTGTATCGGGTTTCTGAACCATTACATACAGAATATTGATTCAGCACTTTGCATAACTAAGAAGGCTGAAGCCATGGAGAGTGGGGTGAACTGAAGGACATCCTAAAGCTAAAGTGCTATAGGGAGATCCCATGCACAGTTGCCCACTTCTGCCTACCAACAGAGTTCTCACTCTTTAATGGTGCTACATCAGCTGCTTATGTGGCTGCACTTCATATGGAGAATCGGATCTGTTATGAGGGATGAGCAGCAAGGAAGGTAATCATTCTGCAACATTTTTTTCCCCCTCGAATCAATTACAAATTGTGTTTGGAAAATAAAATTAGTAATATTTCTCTGAAAGTGATCATCTGTCTCCATGGTGCAGTGCAGCCCTCAGAGGATGCTAGCTGGAGCTCTGGGAAGCAGAATAGCCACAGCAGCTTTCTGGCTCCTTCTGCCATCATCCTTCTTGTCCTGCTGGCTGGCCTGTCTGAAACAAGGTGTTCAGCTGCCACCATATCCCATTCAAGCCTCTCGATGTTACATCTGTAAAGATCTCAGTGAAGTCAACTTATGTGACAGCTTTGAAATGGCAAAAAAAAAAAAAAAAAAAAAAAATGCTGAAGACAAGGAGGTGGATCCTCAGCTCATTTCCACTTGTGGATTAAGTAAGGCTTAGGTTTAGACCTGCCTGCATGAACAAGTGCCTCAGGAGCTCAGTCTGACACCATTCAGCTTCACAGTTCTCATTCTTCTGTAAAAGGAAGAGGAGAACCCAGCAGGGCCTTTGGGATGGTGAGAACTTACATTCCAGGTCAGGTTCCTCTCCTGTGAGGAAACGGATCACAGCCTCCAGCTGGCTGAGCTTCCGGTGGTCTGGATCGATGTCTGTGATGCAGTAAATCCTGGTGGGTAGGGGAGGAGAAGCCCCAAAAGGCAAAAACAAATCACCATCAAATAAATGCTTCTTGAGAATAATAACTGCAAACAAGAATTCAGCAAGAAAGCTTAGCATGCAAAGAGTTTGCTGTTGTTGCACACCATGACCACTCAAACTCCATCAGTGTGGCTTACAGTGAAGCCCTACCAATAAAACCAAGCATCAACTGATGGCTGTGCTTGAACGTGCCATGAATATAGTAGGGCTATGAGCATAAGCTCACAATGCAACATATTATCAGTCCCAAATAATGACAGCAGACTGTGTAATATTTGTACCTGTGTATTTATACACAAAAACAATGTGATGGAGAGACCTGAAAAACAGGGGGCCACGTGCAATGTGAGTAACACTGGGTTGGGAACAGAAAAAAATGAGACAGAGATGCAACTGTGAGATGATGAATGAGCCTGCAGTATGATACAGTGTCAACAAAAACTTTCCAGTGGGACACTGCTGTAGGATGCATTTAAGGGAGAAATGAGAGAATGTTTTACAAGCGTGGGTGTCTGTATAATAAAAGAAACCAGCCTTCTAATCCTGCTTCCAATTTTGACTGCTTCATTGTCGGGACAAGGGAAAGGAAGGGATTATATGAGAGAATTGCATCTCATTAAGGGGCTGAAAGGAATGATTTATGAGGAAAGTCTAGGAAAAATGAATATGTAAAATGTGGTAAGCTGACACCCCAAGTTAGGAGTAGAAGAAGTCACTGCATGCATCTCAAGTGCTCTGCCTATGAAACTTGACAGTGTAATGAGAGGTGTGAAGGACTGCGGGGCTTCTTGAATATAGTTATTTTGGCTTTGACACAGGCTGGGTTCACGTGCCTGACTGTAACTGAATGTTGGGTTCATGAAAACCCCAAAGCTCACAGCAATAAATGGAAAGTGCCATGTTTTACCCTGTCTTCTATCCAAACCAAACAAAACTCTAAATTATGCATGCTATTGAAACAGCAGTCATAAATCACCTTTGTGTTCTCTAGGAATTAGGTCTAGACTTAGTTCAGAGGAATGCCAACCAAAAATAAGCAACGATTTAAAAACACATTTCTCTCTAAGTTTGCTACAAAATTCACTGACAGGTCTGACATACTGTGAGTTTTGCAGCACAATTCTGAGCATCATGAGGAGGAACAAAATGAGTTGTAGTGTAGAATACTGAGAATAAATCATAGGAGATGGTTCCTGGGTGGTGTACATGGCCTTGATGGGATCCCCCAAAGGAAGAGATGGAATTGAGGTCTGAAGGTACCACTACATTACCCTGAGACTATCAGTTCTTTCCAGAGCTGTTGTCCCTGAACAGTGTTGCTTTTTTTCTAGGCCACTGAGGGTAGTGAACTCAAGCAAAACTGTTGGGAATTTTGTCAAAATCTCATGACAGAGTTCTCAGTCTGTGACAGGATTTCCTCCACTTACCATTCGTTTGCTAAAGACACATCTGGCTGGAGCAGGTCATGCAAACCTGAAACCAAATAATACACTCAGAATTCAATTAGGTAGCAGACAGACAGATAGAGGCTGTGAAGGAGAAGTGAAGGAGTACATTTCAGGGTAGCAACGTTGTCTGTTAGGACAATGGGGCTGTTCCAGATTAACCTACCTTCTTCCACTGAAGTGTTCCCCAGCAGAATGTACTCCCCGTGTCCCCTGGACAGTACAACCCCCAGGCTGCAGGGAGAACAGAGGCTGGTCAGCAAGAAGAGGTGTAATCCTGAAACATGACAATGCATTCCCTGCAGTTGCAGCCCTTAAAGACATTAACTCCCTTCACAGCAATTAAAGAAAAGAACATCATCAAAAGAGGATTAAGTGAGATCTGATTGTGGCACAAGAGGCTAAGGAACCTGCTTGTAGGGCTATGAGACAGTTTTGGTGACAATGTATTTGGCCAAAGTTGTAGGTTCAAATCAACAATAACACATATAAATTCTGTTCCAATTTTAAACCATTTCAGCCATGGAAAAGCAAACAAAAAGAAAATGTTTAGCTTGATTTCTTACGTGAAGTTTTATCATTTTCAATTTACAATAATAATTTTGTTTTAGAACCAACACTGGCACACAAAAACATTCAGTGGAACTGAAAGTTGAATATATTCAATTTCTCTGAACTGAAACAATGTGCTTCACCTAAAATGTAGCTTTTGGGCTCTGAACTTCAGATAAATAACTTTTTTGATGGCGATAGGAACAAATAAGTCAATTATTCAGGCTGCTCTACTCATGAGTCACAGCCTGCTTTATGACCAGTTTGCCATCCCTGATGGCAGACTTCTGATGTATTGCATTGCTGATTTATGAGCCCATTCTCACCTGAAGGGTGTGCCACTGATGTCCGTGAAGAAATAGTCATTTGTGAGGAAGAGAACTCGTTTCTGGAATGAGAATGAATAAGAAAGTGAGAGATCATGAACAGATCAAGGTCACAGTGGCAAGACACAGTGGAGACCTGAGAGTAACATCTTTGTGGTTAAGGAAAATAAGTTGATCGTCCCCAGTCGAGGACTGGCTGGAGGCAGAGATGAATGTGTAGTATTCAGTATATTTAACAACTTGTGACTTTCAAGATCCAGGCAGCCACCCTGTCTTTCCATCTAGGTCTTCAGTGAAATCTTCCTTTGCTCTAGGGCTCCTGCTCGGGATGGAGGAAAGCTGCCTTCCCTCTCACATCCTCCAAGCTAACACAGTGAAGTCCTGCTGTTCTTTTACTGCACAAAACAACCCTGATGGCTTTGTACATCAACATGGTGCCCAGCAGGAGTTGGGATTCAGTGAGGCGGGTAAGAAAGAAGGGTGGGGTGGGAACAGAGGCAGGATGGCAATTGTACTGCAACCCACTGCTTGGGTTGGCAGCTAGGGCCAGCTCTCCTCAGCCCTGTGGGAAATGATGAGATTCCTGACATTTGCTTTCATGCCAAACTGGGACATAACATTAACATATTCCAATTTTGTTAAAAAACACCTGTAAAAGAAACAATTTACATTTTCAAATTAAAGAAAAGTGCTGATTCAAATCCAAGCCATTTTGATTCATATGAAAATATTTGTTTCTGACTGACATTTCAACTCAAGAAAGCTGCTTTAGAACTTCAGCTGTTTGCCAGACTGGTCTTTTCCTATAGGAAAGTGGAATTCTTTTCCAAAGGAGAAAAGTTTTTGGAAAATTTTTATCCCACCCTTAAGGCAGAATAGGAACCCTAATATGTTTAAAATCCCAGTCCCAGTCTGAAAATGAGGTGAGAGGATGTGTGTGGGAGACAGCAAGTGAATACAGAAAACTCACTGTTCCCCAGGGAAAGTCATGCCTGCTCTAACCTGCTCAAGCCATGCAGCCATAGAAGAGGTACAGTGCACAAAGGAGAGGTTAGCACTGGGCTGATGAGAAATGGAGAAAGGCTGGTTTGTTTTTTTTTTTTACAGTGAGATGATGGCAAAGAGCTCAGCCCTTTCTCTTCCCTCTCTCTCCATGTATGGTAATTGTGTACTGCAACAGAATAGACTTTTGCTGAGCTGAGATGTTCCAGAAAGGCTACAGTGACCCAGGCAACATGGCACGGTGGTGGAGAAAGTACAATAGAGACTGAGACTCCCTGTTTATAGTCTGATCTGATGGGGAAGAGGCAGAGCAAAGAAGGAGATGTGGGTAAGCATACAACAGATGACAGCCCAGGGGTACCACTGCTCTGAGATATTTCAGCAGTGTTTGCTCTGCTCATCCTTTACTCCCTACCTGCTGCCCCTCTTCTGCACACAGAATCACAAAATATCCTGAACTGGAAGGGACCCACAAGGATGATTGAGTCCAACTCCTGGCTTCACACAGGACCACCCAAAAATCAGGCCCCATTTCTGACAGCGGTGTCCCAAAGTTCCTTTAACTCCAGCAACCAAGGTCTGGTAACACGTACATTTCAAGTTTGGGTACTGTGACTGTTCTAGGCAGTCACTCTTGACTAACACCATCAATGTTTGCCACAGGCCCATCCATTTGTCCCCAAGCTGAAAACAAAGGCAGTTTTTGCCACCAGATCTCTCTAATTTCACCTTCATTCCTTATATTTCCCTCTCTGTCTCACTCTGCCCTCGATACTTTCCCAAGATCAGCCTGGGGAATTGCTGTTGTGTGGCTGACAGAATTCCTATCCCTTTCATTCAGCCCTTCTCTCCTCTGACTGCCTCATTCTCTGTGGTTCCAGGCTCTGTCAGCACTTTCTTTGTTTCAACTGCTGCTCTGCTTCATCAGCTAGCACAGCAACAGTGGGAAATGCAATTTCACTTCTGGTTTCTACTCCGTGTATTCAGATAATAGTAAAATTGTAACTTGCTCAATTTCTGTCTCCTATTATACTTCATAAGGCTCACAGCGTTGCAGAATAAAACACATAATATCTCTTACCAAGGCCACTTTTTGTTATTTTTTTTTTCCTCAGTAGGAAAGCAGAAAGATGCCCTTAAAATATTGAACTAAAATGCTATCTTTGGATGACTCAGAAGATATGTTACTGAGGGTGCCCAGAGACAGAAAAAAAGAGGTTAAATTAAAGAAATAAGCAATCTAGACTGACAAAGAATAGATCTTGTTGGAAAACCCTGTTCTTTTCCAACAGAATAACAAAGATAATGCATGAAGAGAAATAAAGGACATGCACTGTATCTGGGTTTATATAAAGAAGTTGAAACAGCTTTTCATGAAATTTTATTCTAAAGAATCATTTAATGTGACTCTAAATTCTGGGATCTGGAGTGAGAACCAACAGCAGTACTCTAAACAGAAAGAAGCAGTACACAGTGCATCAGGAAAAGATGACCTATTCAGAGAGAGAGACTCTATTGGGAGCCATTATGTACAGTGATCTGTAAGATAAAATAAATCAACATTTCTCTGCATATTGTGTTAGCAGCTCTGAAGATTATAAAGATGAAATGGAGGAGGGGAATTCAGGTTAAAAAAAAAAAAGGCAACTGGAAAAAATAGCTAAGAAACATAGAAATGTAGGCAGTAGTTCTAGGACAACTGTGGGATGGAGAAAAAAATGAAGGGACAGCAGAAAGGAGGTCTGGGGCTTCCTGTTCAGAAATAGCCTATTGCAGAGAATAGAAGTGCTCTACAGAGAAAGAGGGAAACAGTGCTCAAATAGTTCAGTGAAACTCTGGTACCTAGATACCAGAAATGATACAAGAAACAAAGGCAACAAAAATAATTGCTCAGTTGCTTGGACTGAATATTGTGTATTTCAAGTGTAGATGTTGGGGAAGGGCAAACCCATTGACAGCTGACGGTACCTGATAGTTGTAAACACCAAAAACAGAGATGGGTAATTTAGTTACAATATCTAGCAATGCAACCATTCAGAGGAAATGCAGGGGTATCTTCACTGAGAAATGGCATAATTTCAGCCTATGGCTGTGAGCATTGGCCTGTTGGAATTGGTGCTGACTGGCTTAGCATGGGAGCAGACCAGCCAGCTCTATAAAAAAAGATGGAAACTTTTTTTGGAAGACTTCTGGGCAGTTAAACTTGCAGGCCTCTGGAATACTTCCTAAGAGGAAATGATGGAAGCCAAACTCTTTGGGAAAGTTAAATAAACCCAAATGAAAAAGTACCAGTGAACCTAAATATACAAGACAATTTTGCACTGATTCCAGGGGAAGATGTACAACCTTACATTAGAGCTGGTAGGGAACATTCACAAGTCTCCATTTCACTAGAAGTTTTCATAAAATGCTTGTAAATATTTGCATAGAAATTTAATCCTGGACTTGAATAAAGGAAAACACATTCTGACAGAGTGAGGGACAGCTTTCTAGAGTGTTTTTGGGTAAGGAAAGAGAGTTGAAAAAAGCATCCAAGCCTCTTTCTGTCAGCTCAATGTGTCTTCCCCATCTCTAAACTCTTGACGATCTCTGATTCGTTTCACAGCCCTATAAACAATGAACAGCATGCATTTTGGCTTTGCCTGGACAAAGCAGGGAGCTGTGAGGCATTTCCAATGCGTTTGCTCATGCAGAATGCTGATAGGTAAAAAGAGCACTTCTAACTATGTTCTATTTTATGTCTTTAGCACGTGTAACGTATGTGGTGAAACAATAAAATCCTCACACCAGAAATGCTGAGAGTTAAAACCACATCCTTCATGGTTCTTCAGCATCCATTTCCCCTCCCTTTGTGTGACCTGAGCAGGATCATTCTTACCCCTTTATCCACAGGGACCTTCACATCCATGGAGAGGTAGCCTGTTTCCCCATTGATCATGGCAGATCTCAGCTGCAGAGGTGAACAAGATCAGCATTAGCATCTCTGGTAGAGCAGGATGGGAATTAATAGAGCTGCTCATTGTTAAAATACAGGGCCTGACAGGAAAGAGTGGGTGTCACTTTTTTCGCCCCACAGCTTGTTTTTTTTTTACTTCTTTTAAACGGAAAACCTGTTCTTGGTGGTCAGGATCTTTGTCCAATCAGTGACACAGAATAAAAATGGCTTATGCTGAAAGCCTGTTGATATGTCTTTTGAGCTAAAGGAAAGGATCTGGAAGCTATGAAACTGTCAGTCCACGTTTCAGACTTCATCGTTTGGCAGCCAGAATGTCATTAGTGTGATTCTCTGAGAGCCTGAAAAAGGAGACACCTGAGAATCCCACCGGCTCCCTTAGGCTGACTACAAAGCCCTTTGGCATTTCTTTAAACTGATTTATAAATTATAGACTGTACAGAGTACCACTTCTGAGTGCAACAAAGCAGCTGTTTAACACAGCAAAGCAGGGCTGTGTGATAGCTGGAGAGGCAGTGCGAAGCCCACTTTATTCAATCCGGGTTCCAAAGTCAAAATATAATTTTCTCAGTGACTCCCAGCCTCTTGCGAGCAAGAGCCAGGAAATTTTTCCATAAGTGCAGAGGGTTTGACATTAAGTTCAGCCTGCCAGAGCATATCAGCCTGTTGCTTCAGCCTGGGTAGAAAAAAAAGGTGGGAAGTAGCTTATTCATTCACACAAATTGCTTCCGTACTTCCAGAGACAGGCTTCCATTCAGGTGCCGGCCAGACTCAACTGCATTTGCTTTACAAGACCACAGCTCTATTTATTATGGCTGTTTGATGTGGGTTATTTACAGGCTTAGAAGCTTGTGTTTTCCAAAGTCCGTGTCTTGGAAATCCAAACACTGACTGGTACTGTAACTCCTTGCTAGCTAAGAGAGCTTGACCTACTGCCAGAGCCACAGCATACTCTGTTCTGGTCTGACAGCCTGAAGCAATTTCTCTGGGTCGTGGATTCAGTTCGGTTGTTGCTGTTTCATTCATGTCTTCTTGAATGTCAGCCATCCCTCACTGCACCACGGGGCAGTGGAGAAGTAAATCAGTGGGAATGAGATCTCGGATCTCCTCAGCCCCAGCCTGTCCACAGGCAGACTACATGCTGTGCCCCACTTGGGGCAGCAGTGGCTGCAGGTTGCTGCTTCTTGCTGTTTCTTCCATGTTAGCTTCTCCTGCTCTGAATATTCAAAAGCAGACACAGTCCTGGCATGCAAGATCTCAGAAGCAATGGATCCGTGCTGTCACCATTACAGGCAATGAGTGCTGGTGATTCCTTTTCCCCATCCACTCATGTAGCTTCAAACCAATAGACATACAGTTTTCCTGAGGGTTCTTATAACATCTAGGTGTTTTGCCACTCAGTCACAACATCCTTGCACACTAATTTCCTCTTCAAAAGTTCTGTCAAGGCTGAAGAAACTCTGTTTGGGTGGCAGTTCTTGACACTGGACACGATCCCTCAACTCTTCCCTGTTTCCCTCACACTAAGAATAGCCCAGAATTTCTTTACAAGCAAGCCTAAACTTCCTAGCTGCAAGTCGCACCATTCTACATCAATTCGTCTTTTCCAGACAGTGCTATGTTCCCTCTCTTCTTCTCTTTGGCAGCTGGCTGTATTACACATCATTAGCACTTAGGCATATTTTTCCAGTCTGATTTTGCTGCTTATCAGTGTTGCTGAGATTACACTGCAACTGATGTTGAGTCTGTCATTGATCTAATACCATAGCTGTGAATCTGAGTGTTGAAACGTTGGCAGCTTTCTGCTGCAGTGGGTGTATCTTGAGAGACTCTCAACTTGCTGAAGTCACACTGCAGATATTGCTCACGTCACTGAATGTCTCTGTACTCTCAGTGGCTGCAGCCTTTCTTTCTTCTGGAAGATGCAGCAGAAGAACACAAAGTGGCTTTGTTTTGCATGCCTCTTTGGACATTTTATCATTTTATTCTGATTGTGTAAGGACTGAAACCTTACACTGTGCATCATATTAGCATTCAGATAGCAATGTTATTTGATCAGACACTAACCTGGTAGCCAAATAAATATGGCAGCAAAGTTTTAATTTCCTCAAAATGTGTATATATATACACACACACACATACACGTATGTATGTATTTGTGAAACAGCATATTGGGTAGAGAGAGAAGTAGCTCCCATAGTGGTTCCAGTAAGATAGAAAACTACCGTGGGAGCAGAAATGCTAGAAGACATCAGCGAACCCACACAAAGCCACAGATAACCCGTATCTTGACAAGTCCACTGCGTATAGAACTGCTTATTTTTACCTTTTTCTCTATGTTAAACATGTAGATGTGGTATTTAAGGATATGGTTTAGTGGGCAATATTGGTGGTGGACTGTTGAACTAGATGATCTTTTCCAACCTTGATGATTCTATGATTTTGATTCTATATTTCAGTCTCATTTCCTTTCTCAGTCTGCCACACTCTTCCACCCCAGCACAGCCCTGAGTGCTTGCCTTGCACTGGCCATAATAGCTGCTGTGATCCCCTTGCTGGGCTCTTTGTCCCACCGAAGTGGGCATCTATAGCACCAGATCTGCTTATCTCAGCAGTCTCCCCTGTAATCCAGAAGCATGTGTCCTACAGCTAATTCTATCTTACTCTCAATTCAGTTCTTATCTTAGTAACTTAAGTAGCTATTCTCTCTTAACTCCTTTGAGTAAAAGAAAACCAGCTATGGAGGAGTTCATCTACATTCCTGTTGTATCTGGATTCCAAGTTCTGATACACTGCAACACGCAGCTGTTGAGATGCATGCTGTTTCTTGTTAACCACTTTTTAATAGTTTTGCTTGAGACAGAGTAGAAAAAGCATTTCAAGTCATTTCCCTTTAGTCAGCTACTGTTTTCAGAGGTTCCACACGTGCAATAAGGTGTTTTCTGGAAAACCATTTTCTTAAGTGATATATCCCATATGCTCTTTGTCGATCATTAGAAGTGACTGCAAGCTTTAGTCTCTTTTTGAATTGCACTTTCTTCCTTGCTGTGAATTTCATTAGTTGAGTGGGCTCTGCTATATCTCACGTACTGCATGTACAAGTAACATCATGGGACATCTCCCTACTCCCAAGCTTTTCTGGCTTTGTGTTAAGCTGAATCCAGAGGTGCAGCAGCTACCACCAGCATGTGGGCCATGTACATACAGACTGACTCCTTGAAGCATCCTCCAACTTCTTCCTTCCTCCTGCAAGTACTTTCCCTCCCTGTTCCGTGGGGACAAAAGCTCATACAGATAAGGAAGGCAGGCAATTAGTAGGGAGCACTGGCCTTGTTCTCTTCTCACCAGCTTCTCATAGGGCCGGTTACATACAGTAAAAGCAGGAGTGCCACTTCCCTCCCCCTCATTCTGTACAGGTATGCTAAGTAATAGTAAGAAGGAGCTACAAAAAGCTTGAATTCATTTTCCAATACTCACTATTTCATCCCGGTCTTCCCATTCCACTTCTGAGAGATCTACACTGTTGTAGTTCGGCTTAGGCTTCAGTTTCTTTCCTTCTTTATACTGATATTTATTAAAAAAAAAAAAAAAAAAAAAGAAAGAAAATCAAAGAAGAAAAACACTCAAGTAAGCATCCAGATAAACTAACCTTTTCTAAACTAACCTGTGAAGAATTAAATTGAATTCGAAGAATAATACTGTCTCATTCTCTGACTGGGAAGGCAGCACTTGGGTGCAAGTGCCTTCTCAATCCCATGCTGTGTATTTCTTTATGCAGGCACCATTGGGATATTTCAGGTGGGAAAGGCTTTTTCAGGAGAAAGGGACAAGCGAGAACATAGGTGAACTTGCAGATAAAGGGTATGGCCTAGTTTGTGAGAATATTCAGCTAAATAGGTCAGTATGATACACTTCAATGTGCTCACCTCCAGGAAACCACTTTTTTTCCCCCACAGCTAAGAGTGTAATCCCATTAACGCTATTACACCAGCAGGAGATCTGTTCTGATGGGTATTAGGCTTCAGCTTCACTGAGAAAAATGGAGGCTTTTCACCTCAGGGTTAACTGATAAAAAACTGATAAAAGACAACTATTTGCCTGTCATCTTCCTGATGAAGAAAAAGGCATGAAGTAGACTCAGAGAGATCAGTTTCAGGTGGAGGATAAGATAGCAACCTTACCTGGCTTTGCCTTGCCTCTCTGGAAATGTGATACATTCCTCCTCCTGACTTAATGAAGTAACTCCCCACATCTGTGGTCTGCCTTTATGAAGGTGGCTGCTGGGAAGCCTGTGGTGGCACTTTCTTTCACCTGTAGCCATACTAACTACTATTGCTGTGCACGTGGAGATTTTTTGTGTTGACAGGAACACGTATGAAGTATCAAATGCATAGCGTGCCTGGGTAATGAAATCTGCTGGGTGTTCACAGAGATGTGTGGTCTGGAGTTCCATGTGGTACCACAAATGAGAATTATCCTTGCATCCACCCAGCTGGTTTACTGATCCCTAAGTTGTCTCTGACTTACATGTGACTAGGATTTGTGGTGCTGGATCCTGCTAGCCTCAGGTTCTCCATATGTCCAACATTACAACTGTGTGCCAGCTATTACTGGGGTGCTGAATGTTCCTGAAGGAGGTGTGTGAGGGGTCCTTCAGCCCAGCAGTGAAATGCTGCATGCATGCAAATACACCCACAAATGTACCCACAACACAGCAATGCACAAATATATCATCCACATGCATTCTTACAGAGAGGAAAGGCAGGGCACCTCCCACTTCATACACATGCATGCATATATACATCTATGGTTGTGGCATTGATTTCTCTGTTCCTCATGTTTCTGAGGCTGGTATATCAGTAAAACATGAGAAGTAAGGAGCACCCCTGAAAGCCAGTTTTTCCACACTAGCAAAGCTTCTTAAATTCTCAGTTGTACATACCAAGGGACGGAGGTCTGGGTGTGAGAGGATGTAGCCATTGTTGGTGTTCAGAAAGGCATATCCATGGACACCCAGCTGGAGAAAGAGGCATGAGAATAATTAGCTCTGCTTTTGCTAGAAAAACGGCTGCATAAGGATTGCCACTAGTACCCTGCCAACTCAGAATATTCACAAATGTTTTCTTATTAAAGGTATACACTGGTAGAAAACAGGCTTAATCCTAAAGCATTTATCTCTGCCGTTTTGGCTACTCTGAGAGGACAGGCCATACTGGAGTGGGGAGCCCCAGATGCCTCCTTTAGAAACCAGGTCAGTCTGCAGAGGAACTCCGTGATACGTTCTGGTTGTTGGCAAGACCATACGGAGCCTCGGCCAGTTGTATAGGCCTCCCATTTACAATGCTTTTTAAAGAGTAGCATAATCAAGCCAGAGCAGGCACCGTCTGACCTGATCTGCAAGAGATTTCCAAGAGAGCAATTACTCAGATCAAGCCCATACATAATACGAATTCCAGCTTAACTTGTGAGTTGCTGAAAACTCATGGATAGCCTATGCTTGCCAAAATAAGAGGTGTCAGAAGGAAGAATGGTAAGGTTTCTATCTTCAAAAAAAAATGTAGTAACTTTATGTTCCTATAGAGACAATCTTGGAGGGCTAACAATAGGAAAGCAGGGAGGTAAGTCATTCACTGCACTTTTTTTGAAGGGAATGGATTATGTATTGCACAATCTTAGATCAAAACTTGGACTCTATTTAAAAGATTCTTTTTTTTTTTTTTCAAATTGCATAGAACTCAGCATGGCAGATGCATCCAAGGCACTGGATCAGTACTACATCAAATTTCCTTGCTGGCCTATTGAAGATGAAAAGCGCGGGCTCAAGTGAGCTCTCAAGGTAGCTCTGGAACTGGTCCTTTGTAGCCTGTATGCCATGGGAGTCAAGGTGAAGAAATGAGGTTTCCAAAGTGGTCTGAAACTGAAATAGCTTCTGGGAAATCATGTCCTGCCTCTGATGTAAAGAAACCCTTCAAATATTTTCCTTTCTTCCATGGCATTGCTTGGAGTAAGGGACCATTCTCCTTCTAAGTCTAGAAGAAAGATTATTGTGACACATGGCTTTTGAGTGACACTGAGGAAGGAAAATGAAAAGGTATAAGTGTCCCACAGAAAATGAATTTGTATAAAAAGTGAAGTTCCTGGACAAGCCTCTCACAGGCCCAAACCAGCTGGCATTGGTCTGTTGAGTCCAGGCACCCCAATACTCTCAGTTCCTGGGTTGCCTGAAGGGCAGTTTGCTGTAGCTACAAGCAAATGGTCTCTAAATCCTGCATCTAGGTCTCAAGTGCCACACAGATGCATTGCCTCTGACAGCACTTCCATTCCTGAGTCTCTAGCAATCAGATTTTGGACAGCTGCCTAACTGGTAGTTGTTGTCTGATAGTTCTTTAGCAGAAACTGGAAATTGGAAATGATGGCTCAAACTACCTGATTTCTGTGGTGATTCTAGGAGGAGTTTACCATCTCCTGGTATGCAGACCTATTGAACAAAATGTCACTGCACAGAACTTACAGCAGAAACCAAACTAAACAGCACATCTCTGGAGTGTTTGCCTATTGGGAATGCTTTTTCTTTTTTAAGATATATCGAGCACAAAACTAGTGGAAACTCTTGGACTAATTCTGGAAAGCAAATATTCTGTCTAGGTATAGCATCAGTGAGTGAGAGCCAACTTCCTGTTCACTGTGCTGCCAAGAAGTCTTCAAGCTGAGCTGGAAAAAAAAGGACAACTATGCATAACAAAACCATTTGCTTTCCCAAGTCCATTCAGTTGTTAGATTTTCTGCCAAGAATATGTTGACAGGGAAACTAGTTTATTTTTTGGCAACTGATATGGCAGCTTATCCACTGGGAACTGGATATAAAACATTAGTTTTTATGAGATGGACTATCCGATCCGTATCATCTTTGAGGGATCTGAGCAGGTGATCATAAAGTCAAAACTGATGATCAGTTATGAATCCACTGGATCATCCAGTCCCTGTGTTTCTGAGGCATCCTAAGGGGTGAATGATTTCCTGTGTTCCTATGATGTATCACCACAACCAACTGCTCTTGCTTTATGCTCATTCTTCTTCCTACAGGCAGAAGAATGACTTTTCAGACACATGCCCATGGAAGAATGACTAATGACTTTGCTGTATAAAATAGCAAGTTTTATCTCAATCTTACCTTATAACGTGGAGCAAGTTTTAACAACTCCCTCAGTGGCACATCAGAGCCCACCACACCCAGGAGAATGCCGTGAGATCGCTTGAAAACAAGAATTCATTTTCAGAAGTAAAATTTGGGTAGTTTTCTGCCTGAATGTACATTGCTGCCTTCCTACTGACCTCTCACGTGTTCTCTCCAAACTTGTGTATGTTCATTTAAAACCAGCTAGCATGTGTCAGAAAATCTCAAGGGTTGCTGTAATGTTTACGGATAGGAGCATTTCTATCCGACAGTAGTCCACATTTTTTGCTATGATTCAGAAGTAATATAAAATGACTGAACACAAGATTTGAGGGCAAAAGTATTCATTTGGTATGTGTGAATAACAATAAGGACGAGGCAACCATGCGAAGCAATACATATTCGTTTGTCACCGGGCTAAGTGAACCAAATGCCAAATACAAAATTATCAGTCTAGGACAAATGAATGCATGAATTCCCCACAAAATGGGAAATTGTTTGTTTATAAACGTCTGAGGAAAAAAATGGCTCAGAAGCTCCCATTGCAGTGCTGTATTAATACAGGCTAAGGCTGGCCTAGGGCAGAGAAGACAGTTGTTCACAGGATGTAGGTGGAGAGTTTGGGCCTTGTACAGCAACAGTGAGGAACCAGAAGCTGAGATGAGGCTGAGGAACTAGAAATGATACAGAAAAGTGTGTAAAGGGTTTCAAAATCCAGAGGAAATGCCCTCATCAAAGACACCTAAATTTTCTAACCTTTTTACCTTATCAAAATAAAAACAGGTTTGACTTTATTGCAATGTAGAAGATAGTTCCCAGGAGAAAATGCCAAAGGCTACGTGCTTTTTAGTTCAGCAGAGAAAGCCATTATGATGGGAGTGTGAGCCAGACAGACTCAAAGTGGAATTTAGACATCAGTTTTTAACAGAGTGAGAAACTGCAATGAAGAGGTCAAGACTGGATGCCTTTCTTCAAGGACACTTTGACCCAAACACAGGTTATTGGACTCATGAAGGACTGTTATGTGAAACATAGAGGTCTGTAATAAAATGCATAGACGAGACAAAGTAATGATTACTTTCAGTCTCAAATCTTACAGGGCTGTGAATTAGGCTGGCTTTGAAAATGGAGGGATAAAATGGGGAGGAGTGTCGTGTTCAAGAGGTATTTGGAACAAATAGTATTCAGAGGAAATGACAGACTATCATTTTGACAGACAAATTATCATCTGCACATCCTGCCCGAAGTCTACTGCAGTTCCTAATGATCAGGCAGTTTTTCAGAGAAGTGTTGGCTCTAAAACCCCACAAAGGTGTGCTGCAGTCTTACACCTCTGTTGCTGGAAAGGAGAGCAAAGGCCATGTTGCACTCACCGTCTCATTCTTCTTGCTGAAGACTGGCATAGCCACTGTTGTCATGAGCAACAGACTTTGAGCCTGAGATGCAAAGAGCTGCCAGAGAACAACAAACCATGTGTTAGCGGATGCAGTACTGCAGATAACCCAAGCAAAAGGCACTGGAAATCCCAGGGAACCCAGATGTTGGGTACAATGAGACACCTCCTTGCCTCCCACACCCCTCTGAAAACAGATGGCAGCATTTTTCAATGCTTTGTATCCAACAGGATCGTAGGATGAATGCTTGCTCATGTGGGGTGATGAGAATAGGCTGAAAGCCAGTGAAATGTGTTGAAGCAGGAGAGTGAAGAAACCTGTAGAAATGGTGACACAACTTAAAACTGACACATAATGGGTGTATAGACATAGGTACTTATGCAACAAGTGTAAAAACCACCAACACATGGAGCACAGAATGTAGAAAAACAACACAAATATGAGTAAAACACAAATATCATCTATATGCAAACACATGAATAGCATCAATGAGAAACAGCATAGGCAAATGTTTAAAAGGCACAAATACACACACAGCTTGCTTATATAAACTTGTCACTCAGGCATCTAAGCATAGGAAAGACAGGGGACAACACAGTGAGCTGTCTGTACAGTTGATGTGCACACGTAATGGGGAAGCAGAAGGTCCCATTAGTGCAGAAGATAGATACTCTAAAACATACAAGAAAGGAGGTAAAACAGCCAAGATACATGCACAAGAGTCTCCCAAACATGCCTAGCAGTGAAAAGGACCTATTCTCTTGATGGCAGTAGCATCTCCCTTCCATTTCTGCTTCGGTCAAGTTAGTAGCAAGACGAGAACTGACCTCCTGTCTCTATTAGCGTACATGCTAGGAGCCATACAGCAGCCAGCCAATAACCTATGTAGTTGCTTGATGGAGATTTGAGCCCAGTGTCTTCAGTTATTGGTCTGGATGCTTCTTTGTAGAGAATTCCCTTCCACAGTAACACTTGTGCTAATACACAACAAACTACTGTCCCCAGCACTTATCGAACACGTGGAAGAGATCCAGTGAACTAAGCTACCATACGACACAGACACTCCTATCTACTCTGGACCCACAGCACAGCTCTCCAGTACATCCAGCATTGCCTCCCCTCTTGTTTGTGTCAGAGGGCTCCTCAGAGGAGCAGACTCCCACCCCCAGATGTAGAGGCCAGCTGTGGCTGTGTGTGCTCACACTGACACACCGATCAGCACACGGCAACGGCACGCACGGCACGCTCACAAAACACAGGGCAGCAATTACCTCCTCAGACTGTGGCAGCTAGTGGGAGACATGGATGAACAGGTGAATGAATACACAAATGGAGGAATGAAACAAAGATGGAAGAGCTTGGAGCAGAGGGAAAGAACTGCAAACCAAGGCAAGAGGCAAGGAAAGAGACACAACAACAAAAGTGCAACAAACATATCCCAGAAACTATGGGTTCTCCCCAGTTCCTTTCAGGGCTGTGGCAGACATCCTAAAGATGCTGCTGATCACAGCTATTACTAGTTCCACAGTGGAATTCTGTCCAGGAAATACTATATGAAAACATTCTCATTGTTTCTAGAGAATTTTTCCTCTGGTCAGTTCTAGTTGTCACAATTATGCAGAAATCTCTCTGTGGTGAAGATGCCAGTGTATGAAAAAAAAAAACAAAACCAACACATCTTTCTAGAAGCATGGAAAACACAAAAAGAAGCGTAACTTTCCCTTTCTGTAGCGCAAATAGAAGTGGAGATGAAGACTGAGGAACATCTTCTGTTTAAGGTAGTGCAGGGGAAAATACTTTCAGTGATAACTTTTTGTTTTTCCCTTCTCTCTTTTGAATTTCAAAGGTGCAGGGGCAACATATCATGATGGCACCTGCTTGTGGTCCCACTTTCTGAAGCCTTCCTCTGAGGCAAGGAAGGGGTGTTGGGAGCCCCAGGTTCCTGGTTCTTTGTTTCCCTCCCACGAAGTGAGATGTGCCCATTACCCACAGGCTGAGCACAGGGCCAGTACAGTGGGCAACCTTACATCTTACTATCCCTAAGAATGAGAGCGTCAACCTGCCTCCCAAACTGAGATCTGTGTCTTTTTGTGACTAACAGTATGTGCTTAGGTACTGGGCTAGAGGAAGTAAATCTCTATGACCCATATCTTGAGCTGTAAATAGTCTTTCCTGTGAATAATCCTTTAGAAGGTAGCCGTCTTTCACAGGAGCTCTTCTTAAGTCATGCTGTGTCTGTGTGATTAGTCCTGGGCTCTTGGGTCACTGCAGATACATACCTGAGTCTATATATACATCTCAGCTCCAGGAGCAAGCAGAAAAGAAATACTGCTTGTCTCAGCACAGCTGTAACTTCTATTTCCCAACCAGCTCCTGGTTTTACATAAATTTCAGGACTTCATTTAGGCTCTGATACTACTACAACTCTGACACATAAGATATTTAGTTGGGAACTAGGACAAGTTATATGCCTAGCATACTAGCTGAAGGTTTAACACCTTTAGCAGATTGGCTCATAGGCCCTACTGTTTGCTGACTAAAGACTTGAAGTGTCATTCCTTACCGCACTGTCCATGTAGGCTTCAGTCCATATAATGTCGTGGTCATGGTTGATGACCATAGGACGGCTGAGAACATGCAGGTACTCCATCACATTCTCCTGGACGTCCGCCAGTGTGGAGATCTGGGTATAGTAGCCTTCATGGAGAAACAGAGGCATGAGTCAATCTTCTGACACGTCCCTCATGTTTACAAGTGAGTAAGTTAGAAAATGGAATGTCAAAAACTGCATCTACCCAGACAGTTTTATCCACTCTTTACAAAAAGCACCTTGACATGCCTTGTAGCCATGCTTTTCTATGTATACAAGTTTTCATGGAAATCTAGAGTTTCAAAGCACTGGTTCTGTTCTTCTCAAAGCACTGGAACAGTACTCAAGACCAGAGTCTTGATATAACACAACAAGCAGATGTAAAAGGCTGTTTTAGGTCTTAGGCAAAAAACATTCACTAATCAGGCTGCCTGTGGTCCTGAATGCCATACGCAAAGAAGGTATTCCACCAAGCTACTCACATTTTTACATAAAGCCCAAACTCTCAGCTTCTCTTGCACAGTGCTCTACTCTTTGCTCTGCCTAGTTTGCATCCATGGGAACTATGTCATCCACCCATTGGAAGCAGAACCAAAAAGTGTAAGTTACCTATTTCCAGAGCTTTCTCTCCACAAATGGACCTATAGCAGTCTAATATACAACAGAGAGTACAAGGAAAGAATGTCTTCCAGTTATCAAAAGATTGTCAAATGCTAGCTGCTTAATTAGTTAAAAATGCTAAACATGGATCTCATTGGTTACACTTGGTGTAGCACAGAGTATGTCAAGTATATGGAAAATTGTTATCACTAGGAAATCAATGCCATGTGAAATGAGTTGATAAGCTTTGTGATGTGGAAATATTTTGTGTGCTTGAAAACGAAGATTGAAGAGCTGTATAATATGTTGAAATGGAAGAGCCAAGATCAGTGAGCCTTCCTTGGAGATCGAGTTTGCTAAGTGAGAATTGAAGTGTGAAGAGTATATTTTTGTTCTCAAGAATAATCCATTCTCACATCTTATAGTGAACCAACAGTACTGTGAATTTCTTGTCACTAATCTTATGGTTGAATATGCAATCTGAAATCATCTTTTTTTCCAACTAATAAAAAGTAAAAATGTTACTTGTGTTTCATAATCTAACAGGTAAACATTTGAACCTTGGACATCCTCAGCATATGTACACTCTACAGACCAGCAACTCTTGTATGCCAATTATTTTCAATAGCAAATATACCCATGTCTTTCACAGAGTCTGTTGAAGACACTGTTCAGACAGAAAGAGATGAAGTATCCCCAAGTGGTCAGGCCCCAAGCTCAGTCTCTTTCTCCTTTTGTTGTAAAAGTGTACAGACATAGCGAGCACTGCAGGTTGCTGGCCATCGCCAGATGTACTAGGGCCAAGTCAAGCTCAAACAGACAAGACTTTTTTTCCCTTTCGTTTCCCATGTCTGATTGGTTTAACTGGACTTTTAAACTGGCCTCAAATAGATAGGGATGACTCATCTACTGTGAATGAACTTTCCCATTCATGCCATTTCATGCCGGCTACAGAGAACATTGGTTCTGGGGCAGAATTAGCAAGCTGTCCTGGTACCTCAGTGAAATCACTGGCACACAAAGAATTTGTCTGGAATATAGGGGTTAACCTGCAGGCATTGTGAAAAATGCTGTAAAATCCTTAAAAAATATGCTTGTTTTACATCTGAATCAAAAGATGTCAGGCTTACTGACAGAGGTTTAGACAGCTTGTCAAAAGCCAGCAGCTGGAACACAATAAGCACAGGGACTTAGGTGGACTACAGCTGGCATGAATTTCGGTCACAGTGTCCCTTGGCACTGAGACAGGAAAACATGGTGGCTCAGCACCGAGGACTTGGCATTAGCTGGACACGGGAATACTCCATGCAGACTAGCAGGGCCTGCTCTTTCCTTAGGTCATCTTCCACCCAATGGTTCCTGGGCCCCAGCTGTTGTGGGGAACTAGTGGGGGAGTCCAGGGACCCACAGTCACGATCCACATGCGAGCTGAGCGGTTGGAGTTGGGTAGCCATTACCACACTGCACCTTTGTTGTTGCAGGCGATCCATTTCACGTTGGGGGCAAAAGTGACCTCCCGTCCAATGAGGTAAGTGAAAACCCGGACCTGGGAATGAGAAAGAAAATGTAGCCTAAAAGAAGCTGACACACACTACCAAAACCAAGCGGTCAGGGTTTGACACCCTCCCATTCAGCAGTGAGTGCTCACTTGTGCTCTGCCTTCATGCAGAAACAGGAGCCTCTCGCTCCATTTGTTTCGCGTTTTCTGGGCTGGAACTTCATTTCCAATTACAATAAGCTCAGAAAGCCAAGTATCACCTAGGATCATCTGCATAACAAGGCAGAACTGCAAATTCTGTTTGATTTTAAGATAGCAACTCTGCTAGGCACTCAGCAACAACATGCAGAGAGATTTATAGCTCACAGGAATCCTTTACCCAGGGGAACAGCCGGTCATGTAAGCGTTTAAAGAAAGCTTCACCATTTCTTGTGTTTGACTAACAACAAAGGAGTGAATCCTGAAATAAACAGCTTTAACAGCCCTATGCTCTGGTAGGCTGCTTCTCTCCTTTTGTGCATTGCTGTGAGCTGGGATGAGGTAAACAAATAAATCTGGAGGGTTTAGGATGAGCTTGGTCTATTTAACTTTCAAAGCAAACAGGGCTGGGAGGTACTGAGAGAGGTTGTCTGGGCCATTCCACTGCCCACCATATGGACTGGTAACAGACAAAGCTTTCCCAGACAGGGCCAATTATAAACAGTCCAGCCTGGCTGCTTGGTGTTAGCAGCAGGATGCACGCAGGTGTTTGGATGTTCAGCTGTGCCCAGCACCTTGGATCGTCTTCTTCCCACCGTGGCTGGATAGCACCTTTCTTTGCCCTATCTGTCTTTTAACAGACAAACCTTTCGATCTGGCCAGTTGTACTTTTCAAACACAGCTTCATAATCCTCCACTGCTCCGTCTGTGATCAGCATGATGGCTTGGTTACACAAGCCTCCTTGGCCTGCATCTCTGAACTGCAAGCAGAGTGAAGAGGATTAGTTATTGCAGCACTGACCCTTCCCATGTTGCTGCAGTGTCTTTATTCACCAAGGGCCAGATCCTATCTTCCTTGTGCAAATCTCACCCTGTGGACAGAAATCTCTCCTTGCAAACGGACGTTGTTTTGATATTGCATATGGGTATATATACATATTAATTTCTACAGCACTTACTAGCTAATGTGGTTGCTGGAGGCTTTACAGAAGTAAAACAACAGAAAAAAAGCACTGTAGAGGAAGGGTGCAATTCACTGCTGCTTTACAGCTTGTGCAGTCACATTCATTTACACTAAATGGCTATAGACTGACCATAAACACTGCTATTCTGATTTGACAGCAATAACTGTCACTTTTTATGGCAGAAAATGTGAGAGGAAGGGGAAATCAGACTCATTATTTCAAGGCAAATCCATCAATCTACCAAAAAGAGCAATAAGAAACCGGAACACATGAGAAAACAAGGCTGCTGCCATCAGTGCTGAAATAGAGCACAAATGCATCAGATAGAGAGAGGGTACAGAGGGTACACACGCTGTACTGAGAGGGCCAGTATCTGTGCTTGAGTGATATTCAAGCCATATAGAGGCAGTTAGGAACCTGGTACAAATGTCAGTGCTCTGTTTCTGTGTTCTGACCGAGGAGAGGTCTAATCAGCATAGAAGGCTGCAGAAGCTGGTATGTAGAGTGAAAAGTACAGAAAGAGGAAAATGTGACAGCTCTGCACAGAAAATTAATGAGGCAATGGCATGAGATGGAGCGAGTATGGGAGGCTAATTGAAGGGTGGCTGAGGTTATATCAAACAGCAGCAATTTTAAGCTGGAGAAAATAGACATATATTATAAATTAGGAATAAAGACTTGAAATGGCAAGACTAATTGCATAAAATAAAAGTAAACACTGGACAGAATGGAGTTCAGGGTGTGAACTGGGACTCGTGAAGTGTTTCAGGTTTCAATTCACAAGTCTCTTCTGGCTTAGCAAGGCTGTTAGAACAAAAGGCAAGCATCTTTACCAGTATGAATGGCACTGTGCTACTACTGCAGATTGGCATCATGGCCATCAATAGCCAGAAACCTAGTCAAAGTCAAGACTTCTCCAGTCATTTCACCATTCCTTCCATTACCTCTATGATTATTCATCTGTATAAAATACCAGAGCCGGTGTTAGTATAACCATAGTGTCTCCTTACATTTATGTTAGTGGTCCTGTCTTCTACAACACCATTCTTAATATCACTGAAATAAATGTTACTCTACTTCAATGACCATGAATTCAACAGCTTCTGAGTGACCACTATTAGAACCACATGTATGATCCCATCCCTCACTGCTGCTTAATAATTATATCACTGACCAGAATCTGGACAGATGATTACAAAAGAGAACCACAGAATCCTTAGGGTTAGAAAAGACCTCTAAGATCATCCAGGCCAACCATCAGCTCATCCCCACCCTGCCCACTGACCATGTCCCTCAGTGCCACAACCACACGGTTACTGAACACCTCCAGGGATGGTGACACCACAACCTGCCTGTGCAGCCTGTGCCAATGCATCACCACTCCTTCTGAGAAGAAATGTTTCCTAACATCCAACCTGAATCTCCCCTGGAGCAACTTGAGACCGTTCCTTCTCATTCTAAACAGTGGGGTTATATGCACATCTTTCTCTGTGGAGTCCCCAAGCTCTGATGTTTCCAATGGTCCTGAAAGTTTCTATACCTTGTACCATGGAAAAGCCCTGAGTGCCAGCTGCAGGATAGCTGGAGCCCCCAGGAGTGTCACAGCAGGAGTGTCTCCTGCTTGGCAAGGAGACTCAAGGCAGAGCCTGGGAGTGCTGAACAGCAGCAAGAATAGGATGCCTTTAGGTACAAAGAAAAGGGAAAAGCATCTGACAGCCACGTGGGACTGTGCTATAAAACCACCAGACGAAGAAGATGAGAAGGAATCTCAGGTGAGCTATTCCTAGGAGAGATCCAATGGTTTCCAGAGAGAATGGCAAATGTAAATTTTCATCACAGAGGTGCAGGGTTATCATGGTGCAGGAGACATCAGAATGAGGTCCATATCACAGATATGCAAGCCTTGTAATTACAAAAGCAGCTTATTCAGACTGTTGCAATCTGCAAAGTGTTTTGTTTGGGCAATTATTAAATTAATGCTTTATTAAGGTTGCCAACAAACTACTTCAGACATCTCCTCGGTAGCTTCTTTAGACTTCATAATACTGAGATACTAAGAAATTAGATGCTGTATCAGAACCAGCAATCTCCTAATTACTGGAGTAGATGATATTTTCAACAGGGAAAATGAGATCATCATTGTCACAGAAATAGAGATTAAAAAGACAGATTTAGAAAACAAAGGAAGAGGTAATCCCTGATGTTTGGCTGGCTGCAGCTGTAGCAAATGATCTAGAAACACTCACACGAAGTTCTGAGCATAATTCCCTGCTCTGACTGAAGACTTAAGGGTGTGAAATAAGGTGAGATGGGGAGCAAGACGCCCAGAGACCAGATGTTTGAAGGGGTGTGGGTTAGAGATGCTGTCCGTCAATGCGGGTTGGGGCCATGTATTCTCCTGTATAAATTTGGTCGTGTTGCCAGGAGGAACAGGCATGATCTAATTCATTCGGGGTCATGGTGTCTTATGCTCAGTTATTTGTTCATTGCTATTTACTTTGCAGTTTCAGCCTGGTCAAAACAATGGTGAAGCAATGGGAACATCAGCAAAGCTCAGTGACATACACACCCCCAGAATAATGGTTACACCCACCTGGCCAAATGGCTGTGTCCCCCTCCACCTCTGTCTCCCCCATTCACACAGACATGCCTTCAAAATTATGAGGCATTCAGACTTATTGACATGTCCCCCCTAGGCAGAAAGTTAGCACTAGGGAAGGAAACAGAAAGTCATTGAAGGAGAAACAAGAGATGGCTTTAAGCAGAATTGCAGAGGCTGGCAAGCAGGAAATTCTGAGCTTTGCACATCCTGGAAAATGTACTGCAGAATCCAAGCCCAGAAAGATGTAAGTTGAATCAAGAAAAGATTTATAAACTTTCTGGTGAGAAGAAAGGGAATACAAAGAGTACATTGGCAGATGGTAAAACAAAACAAAACAAAACAACAACAACAACAACAACAACAAAAACAAAAAAAACCAGCAGAGAAATAATCAGACAGAGATGCTTTATAGCCTCCATGTTTTATCATCAAAAGAACAGTATTGTAGTGGCTGGGTACAGTCTGAAGTGGTAAGAAAGAAAAGAAAGAATTACAGGAAGGGTCACAAAGTGATTGGATTAAAGAAAAGGCAAACTGAAAGCGTTCATATAATCTGTGCTGAGCAGAAAGGGTAAGAATTGCAGAACATGCTGCTGGACTGCTTGCCCTCTGGGCTGAGACCAGACTGGGACCTTACTGAGATCCCAAAGGGCAACAAGGAACTGACAGAAAGTACATTTTTACATGGGGAAGATGGGTAAGTTGTCCTTAAGCATCTACACCAGTGCTAGAAAAAATAGTGACAGTCCTACCATGAATAAGCAGAGGTAAAGTCCCAGCTAGGTGGGATGTAAGAGGCCACAAGCTCTTTCGATTTCTTACATCAGACAGGTTTACTCTCTCCATGACACTAATTCTCAGACATTCATATTTCACCAAAGACCAATTTGTTACCAGTTTCACTTTTTTTTTTTTTTTTTTGAACCTATAGCCATTTGGGTATGAGCTAGTCATAATTAATCTCACAATTTCTGTCACTTCTGAGTGCAGCAGTGAGTCAGGGTGCCATTAAACCAGCTTGGTGTCAGGAACAGAGTTTGTTCCGCGGTGGACTCAAGAGAGCAGAATCCAGGCTTTCTTTTCCTCCATGGGATCAACTTTCAAAATGCCTACTTACTTAGAGGGCCCTGAGAAAGGACAACTCAAAAGAGCCCCAGATTTTGCACTGCCTTATCCTAAGAGGTTGACTATAATGAATTAATGAAGGTATGTATGATGCCCCTAGGATTTGGGGGAGTGTGTTTGCATAGGTATGTATGTACATACATATATATGGCATGACTACACAAATATAAAAAAATATATATGGGAAGAATAATCAGAGGCTCCAGTGCAGAAGAGGAGGCTGAACATTGGCAGGAGAGAAATACTGCAGAGGCAGATCAGCTGCCTGTGAATTAACAATGTGAGAGCATCTGAAGAAAGGTAACTGTTGTCTCTCGTTGTGTTAAGAGGGCTGTGGAGTGTAAGACAAGGAAAATAATTATTCTGCTCCGCTTAGCGCTCGATAGCTCTCAGCTGCAGCACTCAGCACTGCTGGGAGCACTCTGCTCCAGGGAGGTTGGAGAGGCCAAACTAAGATGTACACACCTGATGGAAAAGAGCGAGATGTGCCCAGTGTGTGGGAGGAGAGAAGGCAGCAGTGAGACAGACTCTAACTCGATAAGCCAGAAAGGAACTCAGAAGACTGTGCTTGATACTTGAGAATTTGAAAACGCTTTCTGAATGCCATGCTTAGCACCATCAGTTCCCCTGCGATGCATATTTCAGTGAAACTACGTGGTGTGGGGCTGCATTGAAACAGAGAGTGTAAGTGGCTTATGGAGCGTGGCAGAGGCAGGGGAAGCTCTGGCTAACTGTGCTCCTGAAGCTAATGTGCGGATTGCATTTGAGATTAAAATATGCCCTGCTTCCCCCAGGGCATCATGGAGGGAAACAAGGGCGGTGAGATACCGTACTCTCCTTCACCCCCCTCTGCCACTCATAGCTCACCGAATACGTCTCTGCCTGGCTATTAATTCTAAGAGCGATTGGGCTGAGGAAAATTACCGGGGAAATTTTGCAGTCACTTTCATTATAGATATTGTTACTGGTTGTCTATTGTAATCAGCAAAGCCCGTTTCATCAGTGTGATGTAGCATCTTTCATTCTCTTGCGTATGCTCCTATGAACAATAACAGGGCAGACAATCTGCGAGGAACAGTTATGATTACAGGCTGAGAATGTGAATTTTGTCTGACAGATGTGGGGTGGCTGCTTCCACCCAGGCTGCGCTCCAGCCCTGCTGTTGCGTGCCTTATCTGCATGACTATGGCAGCAGCACCACGGGTTTGTTTCAGGACAAGGTGATGCAGACCCCTTTCCTCCCCTGTGACTGACTGGGATCTAGCAGAGCTTTAACAGATTTCAAGGGCCTTAAAGCACACAAATGCTTGCAGGGGACATCCTTCTGCAGACTTGGGGATTGCCTAGTCCAATGAGGGAGGAGGGGTGCAGTCTAGTGGGGCTGTGCTCCATTCTTCTCCACTGAGCCCTGCAAAGCTGCGCTGGTTGAGAGGGCCTGCAGCTGAACTGCGTTAAGCTTCTTTAATCTGTTGTCACTGTATATAACCAGTGACATGTTAGACTTTAAGAAACCAGTTTTATTCTGGGGGAACAACAGTTTAAGTATTCTTACTTGTACTGCTCAAGCCTACACATGCTCTGGGTCTTTTGTTATGAAGATAAAATCTATTTTGCCATAAAATGTGAGGATATGTTTAGGTAAATCTAGCAGACATCTAGTGTATGTAATTGTTCTAGGTTTGTATCATTACTTTTTCCATGGTCATCTAAGCAATTATTTTCCCCAAAAGATGTCAAATTACATCAGTGATGATGCTAAATTACTCTTCTCAGGTTGCCATTAAATTCATCACGCTTTAGTTACCACTGCCAAGTCAGTTCAGCCACCACACTGGTTGATTCAGCTCTGATCATACTTGCACCAGCATAAATTAGGAACATGGTCACTGTGTAGTCAATGGACTTAAACTTACAGTCTGCAAAATGAGTAAGAGTGGAGTATCTTTCCCAAGATGCCAACATTTCTGTTACAACCTTTAACATCAGATCCCCTATTTGGACCACTGGCATCATACTGCTGTGTATATTTTGCCAGCACCAAGGGCATGGATTTTTTTCCATCTAACTCACTACAGACAAAGTAGTGAGGAGGTGGGGGTATCTAGCAGCTCTTGGGCCTTTTTTTTGTTAATATTTCTTAAGGAATAGAATTCAGTCACACATTTACCTCCAAGCAGAAATCGCAAATGTTCACATAAGGCAATGAATTATTTATGAGTCTTATCACAGCCAAAATCCTCCTGGCCTGTGATGAGCCAGTGCAACACAGCAATGAGGAGGAGGAGAGGATGATTCAGTGGGGCCAAGTGAGGAGATGTCCCCCCATCTGTGGGATCTACATACCCACGAGCACTGCTCCCCTGGGCACTCAACTGCCATCCTGGGCAGGTTAGCAGCATCACACACAAACCTACACCTGGTCACTCTTGTCACAAATTCAGGACCCATGAGAGTGGTTTGCACAACCCATATCAACTCTCCCCACAGCATCATGATGAATATGCTAAATCAGATACAAAGGAGAGAGCAGGGATACACACGCCCTGTGTGAGCATCAGCAGAGAGCCTCTTACCTCCCTCAGGATTTTGAAGGACTCAGTCAAGGCCTTGTTCACCGTTCCCACTCCTTTTGCCTGCAGTTCATCCACCAGCTGCTTGAAATGCTGTCAAGAACCCAGAAAAGCGGTGGTGAGCTGCAGGCAGGCTCATTCTTGGAGGGGGGAAGAAAGGGAGACCTGGAGAGCCCATCCTTGTGGGCTCCCACCCTTTTTTCATTGCTGGCAGTGCAGTGTCACACTGCCATGGATGGAGGTGGAGAAGTGGCTGTGCTGTTAGCAGTGCCATCGCATTACAGAGCACAGCCATTGGACTTTGAATTCCCAGTGGATCGTGAAACATCATAAAAGGGGAAAAAAAAACCCAAACAATCAGATATTAGACTTTCCTCTATCCACTCCTTCAGGAGAAACAACCAAAAAACATTCCTGTGCATGTGAGAACAACAGAATAAGGGAGGAAGAAAACAAGCGTTCAAACTGGCTTTGATCTGATTGAGACAAAACCCTCAGAGAGTGCTCTCCACAAAATGGACAAGGTTCAAAAGACATGAGGGTCCACTGGGAAGCGCTGCAGGAGATGTTACCCTTTGGGGGCATACTCTGCAGCCCAGAGCTAGGCTGGGAAAGAAATCTGGAGAGAAAGTTGATGAAAATGTGAAGGGATGCACTACCTGGTTGCTGCCATTTAGCAACAAATTAACTCAGTGTCATGGTACCTTTATGCAAAGATGAACCAGAGCCAGCACACACCACTTAGGAGATAACATGCTTCTAGGAGATAACTGTTCCTTGCTTCTAGAGTTTCGTGTTGCAGCATCTTAACCCCATGCAGTTATCACTTATCATTGCCTTGCCTGGATAGCATTAGTGGAAGCCTGGTACTCACCTCTCTGTTGTCTCTGTCTGCTTGGACCAGGATACCCTTAAAACAGGGTTCAATAAAATGAACATAATCATTGTACTGCAAAGACAAAATGAGAAGAAAGTTGGTGCAATGTCCTGGGTGAAGGCTGAAAAGCATTATTAATCGTTAACACATTTTATAAATCTTTCCCTTTCAAATTGTTCGTAGTGATCAAGGAAAAATATAATTTTGATAAAACACATGTATGTTTAAATAACTTGTTAATTATAGGGTTTGCTATATTAAATTTGGGCATATCTACACATGTAAAAAATCTTTCCCCACTCAGACACTCTAGAGATATCCACACTCTACAAGCTTGTGCCCCTTCTTACAATTGCTTATTATAATATTTGCACATATTTATTTACTTCTGTAGACTTTGAGCCCCAGTCATCAGATAAACCTTGTCAATGGTTTTGTAGCCCAGCAGTCAATGTCCCTGGCACTCAGCCAAATAATAACATATCAAGTTACCCCACATCTTCTGAATTACAATTACTTGTGCAGTGTCTGCTTCCAGCCTGATATGTAGGAAGGAGATGCCATTATAAACCTTTTCCTCTACGGTTCAGATGAGTATATTTGTCATAGGCTAAGGTGGTACTTACTGATGGTTACCAATGCTCAGCTTATCAATAGGAGCTTAGGTCAGGCTGTAATATATCTGGGCCAAAGACTCTTAGTGTAGGTGTAACATCACTTGACCTTTCTGTGATTTTATTTTTTTTTTAAAGAGTAGATTCTATTTACATCTTCTTAACAATTTCCTTCCTTTTATCTGCCAACACTATTCATCCCTCCCTCCATTCATCCACGTAAAGACAGAGCTGTCACCACTGGAGTTTCTAACCATGTTACACAATGGGAAAGCTGCTATGAAAAGTAGATTTTATATCTTGGTGATTGTGCCTTGACAGACTCATATGGAAAGCCTGGTGAAAGAGGCAGTGCTTGAATTAGCTTTGAGAATGGAAAGGTGAGCAGTCATTTGTCTTTAACCTGGCTCAGAATCCCCCAGTCTTGCTGTGAATCATGGAAAAAATTTTCTTTTGTGTTTATTGGTGCTGGTTCTGTCCGGGTAATCAGACCATTCTTATCATGGCCAGGGAAAAGGGAGAGAGTAGCACCAGTGCATCCCGACCAAAGACATACTTACTGCAATGATATTGACAAAGTCATTTTCCCCAAGAGTATCTAGAATGGTGACAATGGTGTGTTTGGCAATGGTCATCCGCAGGCCCTTCATGCTTCCACTGACATCCACAATAATGACAATGTCCTTGGGAGAGGTGGCTGCTTGGATGTACCTTGATGAAAAGAGGAATACAAGAAGCCATGTTGAGAGTGTGGAGTGGAGGATTTCTGGGTATGTGCATCTGGGTGACGTGCACTGAGTATGGCTATCCCACAGGCTCCAGCTGTTTAACAGCAGGGCTCTTGCTACCCACCTGCCTCTCCCAGTGACCCCAGCCTCTATGGACAAGAGCTGCAGACATATCTCCAGGTTTCAGCCAAGAGTGACAACTGCTACTATACCATTTAGCTGTGCTGAACAAACTGAGCAAATGCCTGCCTTTGTGTAAACAGCCCCATTCCTCTAGCTGCAGCTTTAAGAAGGATGGGACAGAGGAAGGATGCACATGCGGTACTTTCCATCTGGCACATGTCAGATCCCCTATGGAAAGTCGGCACTGGCTGGTATCAATCCTCTATTTATGTATTCTTCTCCTGCATGAACAACATGACACAGTGACTGCTGGTCAGCGTCACAGTGAAAAAGAGGAAGAGGAGAGAACCAACTTTCTCCACAATGCTTACCAGCCACGATTCCTGCAGTCAAAGGAGATGACCCCGTTCTCATCTGGTAGCCACTTTATTCCTGAGGGGAGCAGCAAAGGGAGCAATCAGCATGTACACAAACAGGCATGGACTCCCTGACAGTGTATCCAAAGCACAAACAGAACTCTGTGGTCTTCAGCAGTTCCCAGAAAACTATTAAAATTTTATTAATGAATATTGTTAGGTGGTGTCTCCTTGTAGTCTGGCAAAATTTGAGGAGCAGTTGCACTTACTTTAAACATTCTGATGTAGTTCTCCACATCTTTTTTCTCATCAAGAGCATAAGGCAGCAGCTGCAGAGAGAGCAATGTGTCCTACGTTCCCTGCTGGAGGCTCTGCTCAGCCATCCCTCTGTTCCCTTCCATAACATTTGGCAGGCAGGTCATAGAGCAAGGGCACACAGCCATCTGACAGAGAGGCCACCAGGCCACATTGCAGCTGTGGAGGGTCTCCCAGACTCCTCCGAGCATGCGTGGGTCCTCCCTCTAGTGCTGTGACCTTACACAGTGCTCAGAACTGGTGATCAGGTAAGTCAGGCTGAGCAACTGTTTTGGGCATGTGTGGTCTTGGGGATGAAAAGGGGCTGTGGCGCTGTGACTGCAACTAAAAACAGCAGGGAAGTGAAAAGATTACACCCAGTCCAGTGAGGTTCTTTGCAGGGCAGCCTGCCCAAGGCACAGTCCTACAAACAGGCTTCTCTGGGGCTTTAAGTGCAGCATACCTGGGAGCCAATCCAGGGAAGAAATAAGGCTTTATGCCCTCTATGGATGCTGTTCCTTCAGCCTAAGGTAGCAGTAAGACTTTTGGTTCACCACACCTCGTCCTTCATGAGGACATGCTATCCCACCCTGGGCTCTCACACAGCTCCGTTCTATCCTGCTCTGTGCTGAAAGACTTGGGCTGATGGCTGCGCTCTTACCTGGGTAGAGCCTGAAGAACCCTGTGGAACTGCCAAAGTACTGCCAGGTCAGCGTAGGATCCCTTTCAAAGTTATCCACAAAGACAGGGTTCAAGGCTTCTGACATGTAAACACCATTCAAGATGTCAGGATCTGCAGGGAAAAAGAATAGAAAATGAGCAAAACAGGATGTAAAGGAGGGGATGCAGATTGGGATGGGAATGAAGATGACCCTGGAGGAGTACAGCCTTCTCCAAAGATGTTTTTTCCTGATCAGCCTGAAGTCATGTCTCTTCATCACAGTGCCTCACAATGACAGCTGTCCCCTCACCAGCAGCTCTTCAATAGAAGCATTGGAGGGAGCAAAATGCATAGTTTAAGCCAACTACGGAGGGCAGCTCATCCCTGGTGGCTGGAGGTGTTCCCCGCCGGGCCATATGCCATTATCCCCATTTCTCTTACACCCATTTGGAAGAGGGCTCTGAGAGACTAGAGATGATAAGGAAGTAAGCACAGACACTAAGTGGAACAGCCTTTCTGCAGTGTTTAAATTTATGCTAGTCCCCATGATGCAATTACTCAAGACAGAGGAGCCCTAGGTTTTACATGCTGTTTTTGTCTCTCCACTTTTTCCTCACATTTTTCTTCCCTGCTTTCCCTCTCCTTCAGAAAGCTTCAGCTGTCCTCTCTTGCCCTCGATCTCATCAGAACCAATATAAAGTTGCAGATTTGTGTGAAGTCGTAGGAAGCAGTGTACATGCAGTGTCTGTGTTGAGTCATTGCCTCAGGGGACCAAACAGAGCAGCAGCAATAGAAGAAGGGAATTGCAAGAAAATGGTCACAACAGGATTAACAGTATTAATGTCAAGCAGGATAGGAATTTGACCTGCCACTTCCTGTTTAGTCATTTCAGTTTTGATCAAAGTAGGGGCAAAATTTAACAGTGGCTCCCCAGTGATGGGATCAAAGTAGCTCATGCAGGAAAGGAACCAAAAGAGCTGTGGAAAGCAAAAGCTTGCTGAGCCCACTGTCATACATGACAGAGGGAGCAAATGCTGCCAGGCCTGCTCCCGAGAGGCGCCCTGGGTGCGGAAATGGTCTCCACCACTTCCTCCTCCATATCCTGCTTGTTCTTCAGCTGCAGCAAGAGCAGCTGGATGGTTTATGTCCAGTCGTACAGACAAGAAATCAGATAGTTGGGTATAGCATCTCTGCTGTCTCTGACAGCAGCCATTTGGCCACGTTTTCGTGTGCCACTGCAGCCAGCTGCCTACTTCATGCTCAGCTGCAGCCAGCCCTGCTGGTGGCTTGATTGTGCGCAAGTTTTTGTGTCTGGGGGTCTCAGACCAGATGAAATTAATTTAAAATCTGGCGAGAAATGAAACTCCTTCTATTGTCCCTCTAAATAATGTACCGGTTGTAAACTCAGTCAACAGTGCCAGCCCCATCTGGTCCCGAGGCTTGTAAATGAGCTCCATCTATGAAAGAAATAATGGATTTTTTGTTTGTTTCCCAAATGTATTCAACAGGAAGAACCAACTGGGTGCCAGGCAAGGAGCCAGTTCAAGGCATCTTTGTGTGTTGACCAAACACAGCAGTAAACTTAGAATAGTCACAACTGGGTTTTAGCCAGCAGCTTCTGCAGTGTGTGCATTGTCTTGAAGATGGACTATTTCCTGGTGCATAGGTGGAATGGCATCAGTGTGCAAGGGAGAAAGGACAGGCTGGGCTCAAATGAGGCTGTATGAGCCTCAGGGTTCCTGGGCTCCTGCAGCTACTGAAGTCTTACTGAGAAAAGCAAATAGCTCAGAACAGTCACGCCCCAGTAGCAGCTGTGAATTGTCAGCATCCCCCTGTGAGTGTGCTCACTGGGAATTAAGTGTCTCCATGAGGTGTTAGGCTCTCATAACCCAAAGATACTTGGGATCTATTTTCTCAGCTGAAATCAATGAGATCCTTGACACCTAAACATATTGATAGATCAGACCCTTTGTACAGAATAGCAATTGCCAATAAATCCACATCACATTTCATTTCATAGCATCTCCAGTTATAGAGATGAATCTTACAGACCACACTGCCTGCCTAAAATGAAGGACTGTCTATCACTTAGAGGTCTTCCAAGAGCAGATTACACCTCAGCCTTGTCACAGTGATAGACTGCAACATGGGCATAGCTGTGTCTTGAGAAAATACCTTTCCAGACCTGGATTTTTTTTTTTCCTTTCACAATTGCCTTTTCCTTTCCTCATCCTTTCTTCTGGTATTATTACTCCCATTTAGATTTCATAACACCCTGCTAGGAGTGAGAAAGTAAAGGCCAGCCATACATTACCTTTGTTGTAGACATTGGTAGGGAGCTGGATATCACTGTATGTTGTGTTTACCAGCAGGTTATTGAAATGCTCATTTGGCTCCAGAATGAATTCATCTCCAAGCTCCACATAATTGTCATTTTCATCCTTCTCATTAATCAGGAGGGAGTTGTAGTAATCAAACTGTTAATGAAGATAATAAAAAAGAGAAAGACAATGAGAGTACAGTGATCAGTACTACCTGAAAAAAATAATGTTCTTTCACCTATAAAAAAGAAGGGAAATCTGGAGAATGCGGGCTTCAACTAGAATCAAGATGAGTATCAAATGACAGCCACTGCCAATGAAACGTGTCAAGCTGCCCAAATGATGGTTTCTGCCCAGTTTCTTATTGGCAGGTTTCAAGCATAATCAAGCCAACTGCCAAAGAGCCTCCTAAGAGCAAAGGGATGCAGTGATAGATTCCCATGGTCACTCAGCAGCATTTAAGCTGCTGTCTGGAGAGGTGGAGTGTCTCACTGGGTCTGGCTCTCAAGTTTGCTAGGGCATGCCTTTGCTGACCTTAGTCGCCCTGTCCCTACCACTGTCATGTACTGGAGTTAACTCCTGATGTTCATTCAGATTGGATTATCCTCTCACTGTCACTCCAGGCAGCAGAAGCTCATCAAGAGCAAAGGACAGAGCAGAAGGTGCTCAAAGACAACACAAATCTCCCCTGTCAAGGCCCTCTGGGGATTTAGCAGCTGCCGACATGTTAGAATCTCCAGGATAGTCTTCCCTTTTGGATAACAGCAATTTTTAATGTGTTTTGTTCACTTTATCTGAGGGAAGAGTCCCTTTAAAGGCTTATTATGTTCAAGTACTATCAGTACTCAGAGGTGTGAACTGTGTGTGTGAATAAAGGGCCATGTGCCTTGATACTGCGAATCCAGCTGATGCTGGAAGTATGACTATAATATGATTCTTAAACAAATGAGTAAAAGAGGCAAAATTGATATCTGAGTTGGTTTCAGGAAGCATTTTCAGTCCCTGCATTTCCTAGCATAAACAGTAGCCTGCACTTCTGCTATGCACCCAGTGCTTACAGTGTGGATAATGGACTTCAATAATCAGTTTGTACTCCAATTCCCTTCACCAGCAATAATCCCATTGCTTTGTTACAGTTACTAAGGGAAAGCCAATTATCCAAATTGCATGGACAGCACCAAACTTTCATCCAATAGGAAGTCTTGACAAGTACGTGTCTGCAAGCTAGAGAACAGATGATGGCAGCTGGTGAGAAACTCTGCTCATTGGGATTAATAGTTTGCTACGGGTATTAGTAACATTATGACCTTTGCAGCAGGACCCTCCCTGTTGCTCATACACCAATTTTTAGCTAATTTCCCAGGCAAGTAAACAGAGAAGCACCAGTTAATTTGCACTAATATGTCACATAATGACAATGCTGGTGTGAAATAAGGGTAAAACCTTTATTGTAACATCGTGCAACCCAATGTCTTCCCAAATCCGTCTCATCCCTATGTCAAAGGGACTAATCCCTAAGTGTTACTTAGGCTTGGGATCTGTTGTGTTGATTTCTAGATGAGCTGAGTGTTCTGAAGACAAGGATACTCCTAACCTGGCTCCTAGATTAGAGAGTCAGGTGTGCTGCACGAGGTTCTAGAGATGGGAGGGTGCTGCTAGGTAAGCCTGTTGCCTGGTGCTTATGAGGACATGCACCATATTTTGTCACTGACAGGGACTAACTTACCTCCAGTGAGGAGTTGTACTCATGGTTCAGATCTGCATCCTCTGCTGCTTCCACCAGCCTCTAATGCAAACAGATAAAGAAAGATGAGAGATGCTGTGGGAAGTCCCCAGAAGCTTTTCCACCACCAACAGGCACTCATATAATGAGAAGACACGTGACCGCCTCCTTTACTACAACACAGACACAGGGCCACAAACACTCCCTTTCCTCTGCTGTCATCCCATGCTGCAGCTTTATGACTTGGAAGGTATAGTCACAGCTTTTATTGCTGAGTGCATTTATACCTGCTTACACTGGAGTCCCTAACAGCCTCTCAAGGAGTCTCGGTCACTGTAGGACATGTACACACAAATGGAAACGTATTCATTTAGACAAAAAACAGATATATTTCATTTTTCATGAACCCTTTCAAATAGCCATGGGAAAGGCATTTTGGACCCAGTCTGATGTCAATAACTTGTTAAAAGAAAAGGAGTCTCAGACTGCTATTGTTGCTGAGAAAAAAGACTGTAATTTGGTTTCATAAAGAACTCAGTGATACTATGGCTGTTTATGAGATCTGACCATTTATGGTGCCAATATAATCACTAGTATTCTCCAATATGATGCTTCGGGGCACTAATTCTCACTTCACATGCAGACTGGGAAGGAATCCAGACAAGAATGCACATGTTTTCAGAGTTGCACAATTAGTGACAGTTTCAGCAAAGATACTTTGTGCTCCTTCACAAAGGATAAGGCAATCCAAACACTGGAAGGGTCTGGCTGTGAATTTAACACTATGGGCCAAAGCCCTGAATCTAAATATGCCCACATTTCACTTCAAGATTCAAATGATGTGTTTCTGGATGACTTTTCCATATAAGATGTCTTAAACAGTCACGGCTCTGTGACTACAGAAATATGCTTTGTATAGTGTGTAAATATAAAGGAATATGATAGATCCTTAGATGTGAGAGAGGCCATAATGATTACCTGCTCTCCTCATCTACAACAAAGCAACATCTGAAGCCCATTTGCCACCTACTCCACATTTCCCCTTGTAGACTAAAATTCCAAGTGTTTTCCTTGAAGCTCTTGCAGGAATTTCCCCTGAGCTACACACAGCTGAAACAAGCTACTATAGTCTTCAGTGGCCAGAGGGCATCATGCAAGGATAAACTTTATTTTCACTTATCAGAGGCTTTTTTCCTTCTTTTAACAGCTATAGAATTAAACACCTTTAAGGAGAAAAGCGTTAATTCCCTCATATTTATTCCTAGACTTTGTTTTTGTCTTATTTCTTACTCTGGGCTGACAGAGCAGCCAGCATTCCCCTGTCTGAACACCCACGTCCTCCCACCAGTGTCTACTTAAAGCTCAGAGAAGCCAGCTGCTCTGCTCAGCAAGGAAGTCCTCACACAACCCCTGTGCCCACGCACCCCTGGTGCAGGCAGAGGGAAGCCAGCACTGGCTGCTTTGGAGCCACTGGGAAGGGACTTCCTTCCCACAGCGCCCATGGTCATACCTCAACAGCTTCCACCTTCCTGCGGAGCATGCTTTCCATCTGCTCTGAGAACTTCTTTACAAGCTCCAGGCCATCCACTTCTTTGATCTTCAGGGTTGGCTCCACGTCTTTGTATTTCTGCCCAAGGGAAAGCAGAAAACCCTGCTGAGCAGGAGGCTTTTAAGGAGGGGTAGAACTATTACTGCTAGCTGGACATTGTTGCTGGTGATGAAAGATGTGTTGAAAGAATCGCCTTCTGATGTGATGATTTATCTTTTCCCATTTTTGTGTTTCTTCTCTTTTTACTCTATAATTTGTGCACATGCAGATCCCTGACCAGAACATGAAGCACTAAGTAAAAGCAAACAATCCAATTATGAGCTTGTGGCTGCTTAAAAAGGCAATATACCTAGGAATTATCAGCATAGCTCCTTCTAATGCAGGCATTAAAAGTCCTGGATACTCCTGAACTGGATAATTGTTCAATCTTTATTTCTTCTTTTCAAAAAAGTCCCAAAGCTAACAAACAGATAAGCTGAAAGAAAAGGGAAAAACTAGCAACCAACACAATTTGATTGATGATAAGCAGTTTGGTGGAAGGGCACAGATTGAGTTTCCCACATTATCATAGCTCTCTGTAGAACATACACGTCCCCTCCATTCTCATACAATCATTAAAGTTGGAAAAGACCATTGAGAATTTCTGGTCCAACTGCTGACCCACCACCACCATGCCCACTGACCATGTCCCTCAGTGCCATATCCAGATGGTTCTTCAACACTTTGGGGAGCTCTGACCCAAACCTGTAGCACTGCGTGAGTTTGTTGTGATCCAAGTGCAGGACTAGGCTCTTGGTCTTGTTAAAGCTCATAAAGCTTCATGTTGTGTTGGCACCACAGCAGCAATCTCACTAGGGATGTGCTCTTTTTGCAAGTACAATATGAGGAAGTGAAAAGAACGAGAAGATAGCAGAAGATTAGGGGCACTTTTGAACTAGAAGCAAGTGGAGGGGAAAGGACTTTGAATGTCTTGGGGGCGAGCGAGCAGAGCTCCTTTTGTTCAAGCAGCCCCCTGGCCACTGGGGAAGGCAACCAAGCACAGGCAGAGTAAGAAATGCCCTGGAGACGGGGCAGGCTGAGGTGGTCAAACAGAAATAGCAGCAGCAACCATTCTGCAGCAGGCATGGCGGGGAGGCTGCTAGTTCTGTCTGCCGTGATTAACAGCAAGGGTTTTACTGGATTAAAAATGCCTCGCATTCTCTCTGCTGCAGCTGATAGCTGGGGCAGCGGTGGATGATGAGGAGGAAGAAGAGGTCAGGTTGAGCACAGAGGTTGGCATAACCACACTGGCTGTTCAGCTGCCCCAGAGGGAGGGCTCTGGCTGATGACCAGCCTGCAGCACGCACCCAGCTGGTGCCTGCCCCATTTAGCTCCATGACACGGTTTCAGCAGGAGGGAGGTGATCTCTGCTATGGTTTAATCAGGCCCTCCTCGGGGGGAGGAGACTAATCTCTCCTGGGAGAGATGGGGGGAGACATGGGGAGAGACTGCACTAGCACAGCCATCGTACACTTCACAAACCTGCCAGCAGCTACCTTGGGTCACTCCTTAGATTAAGAAAAGCAGGGTTCATTACCTCTCAATTATTTTTAGTGTGCTTTTAACCCATGGAAAAGTGGAGGTTAACAAGGTAAAATAATCATAGGCTAACTCAAGCAGCCTGCTAATATCATACACATCTCAGCCTTGGGAACTAGTTAGTGCTGGGAAGATGTGGCAAAATTTTTGCAAAATTTCAATTGGCTATTGTGAGGAATAAATAAGATTTGAGCTCAGATCCCCCTTGAGCTTTTCTCCTACAAACAATCCATACAACCATTTTGTATCTGTATTCCTGCCAGTAAAGGCTCCTGCTATTAAGGAATATTCACTGCTAAACTTCCCAGAGATAGGCAACAGGGTTGTAGCTTTTATCTCAGTACTGTTACCAGATTTCATGGCACAAAGAACGTGGTAAGTGCCATCACTGGTACTTGTTGCCAACCAAAATTAACTACTGCAACACAAGTTCAGGTTATCAGATCATTATATTTTCCAACATGGGAATCAGCTATAGGCTTGGGAGAATGAGCTGCAGTCAGCTGATGTTGAGAAGGCACCAAATGGGTAACTGAAATAACACATTCTTTCACATTCCTCTGGTGCTTCACTCCCTGAAATAGCAGGGACAATTCATTAAGATTCTCCTTCTGTGGGGGTGGCAAATTGAAAGCGGAAGATCTAGAATTCAGTATCTAAAGTTTTAACTGTGAACAGAGATATGTCACCAAATATATTTTCTTGTTCCCACCTTCTTAAAATTAAGCCCATTGAAGTATGTTGTCTTGCATTACTCACCGCTAGTGAAACTATATTAAGGGTGTGAAAGACATTGCTTTCATCTTCACCCAGAAATGTGTCTTGATTGAACTTATTTTTCTGTTCTTTGCTTTGTAGTTACCTGCATTGCATTATAGTGATCACACATCTGGAGCAAAGCCTTGCTCTCCTTTCTAAGCTCTATCCACCAAAGAAGGCAACTGTCACATCAGCTTCAGAAGGAAGCAAGAGGAATTCCCAGAAACATCTATATTATGCTAACATAGCACAGGGAAAAATAAATTATGGGTCTGCTGAGATTGATTAGCGTTTGTCTCACTCAGAGGCAAGCTGAGCTCTGGGGAGAAGCCTAAAACCACACAGGGACCTCCCAGCATGGCTGCAGCTGGTGGCCCCAGGCCCTAGAAGACAGCTGCAGCAGGGCCACTGCCAGCAGACCTAACAAGCCAAAGGTTAAAGCTGTGGGAGATGCTACTGTCCTCCTACTCAGCCTCCCACAACACCACTTCACCCCAGCTATGTTGCTGTAATCTGTCCTAGACCCTGGCCAGTGTTTTGGTACAGACCCATCAGCAAGCCAGGTTCACATACCAGACTGGTACATGAACTTCTCTTGACCTCTACTGCATAGCGTCAAAGTGAATATGAATGCTTCAGCCATCAAATCAAAACAGCTCCTAAGCTTTTGTTCCTCTGAGATTAAATTTGGTAGCATCCTGGCTGCTTGAGACCAAGAGCCATCTGGGGGCTTTCTCAAAGCTGCTTGGTCCAGGATGAGAGCCCGCCCTTCTGAATCCAAAGGACATCTACTGCCTCACCAGTTCTCCAGGAGCAATAAAGCCTGGTGGGAAATAGAGCATTTGGGTTTGCAATATAGTATTTAGTTTCTTCTGGAGGGAAACAAATAATAAAACTCCAAAGAAATCCAAGCAAACTAAGCCCCAGAAGAAAACTTATGCTAAATAAGGAGAAGGTGCAAAAACATGCAAAACATTCAGATAACGAAGGAATTACAGGTCTCAGAACAATAAACTAGCTATTTTAGTATACTCCTGTTAGTCACAGGGGAAACATGAAATCAAATTTGGAAGGTGAAGTTGTCTGCATTTTCTCAAAAAGAAAATGCCCATTGACTTAAAAAAAAAGACAGAGGACAGAATTGTTGGCACTCTGCATTACACTCCCCACTCTTGAGAAACTCTTGCACAGAGAGAAATATTTCATGTGAACAAGAGGCAGTGGTTCCATATGAGAGAAGTAACTGGGGAGCACACATTTTTATCTCTAGGACATATTTGGCTCCTCTGTCCAGGCTGCCCTTCAGTCTGTGCACTGGGGCAGCAATCTCCATGAAGCCACTTGGGGTCTGACTAGGTACAGATGCATGAGGCATGAAAATGTTGCCTGTTAGCAAGAGATTAGTCTGCAGCACTGTGTTAGGGGCTAAGGGAAGCCCTACAGAACTGTCCCTGCTTTGGGAAGTGTGATAAGGTGTCCAACTCTGTGCTTGCTGAGGTTGATAGAAGGATTGAAGATGCCTTGACCCCCCTCAACATGAATTCTAGGATGGATTTGGCTACATTTGGGCTGCTTCTTCATCCGTTCTTTTCTCTCACAATGAATTACACTAAAAGCCAACAGAGTTGTGAATTTTTATTTGAGATGGCTGCTGTGACTCCTAGTCTACTAGCATCCACAGGTCTCATACAACCCCCACACCAAAGAGATCAAGATCCTGGGAGACAAAAGATACAGTGTGAACAGAGGGAGGTGAAATGACCCTATGCAACACCTTCATAGAAACAACAAAGCACAGCTATTTTGGAACCCACTTCAGCATCATGGCTGCTATCCTTGGCCTCCATCACTGATTTGTAATGACACTGGCATTTCCAAGCTATACCCTGTCCTCTTAAGTCTCGCTGACTTTTTGAACCTTAAGGAGTTTAAACCCCCTAACCTGCTAGCAACTGCACTCAATGTGCTGGCACAGGTTGACTGTGTTGAAACAGAATGGAGAAGACAGTGACAGCAATAGTTCTTGACACTATAAGGTGGCACCCTTAACATATGAAGAAAAAAAATCTGGAGTCTGCAGACTTCAAATACCTATAATGTCAAATACCTATACAGCACCAGGCACAGATAACTGACTATTTGATAGCCCCAATATGGTCCACTGGTGATTGGGTGTCCACTCAAGCTGCTGTAGCACATCACTTTGACTCTAACACTACTGCTTGAGGACCTCATGCAATTGAATCCTCAAAACTGCTAAAATGCAAACTTTTGCCTATATCTGCTGAAAATTATTTATTGTATGATGACACATTCCTTCTAAGAAGGACTGATAATCATCATGTATCTTTGACAAATACTAAAGGACTTTCTCAGGAAAGCCTAGCTAAGGCTTTCCCTTCCTCCAGATGTAGGGCTCATTAGCATCTAGATTTTATCTATCTATCTATCTATCTATCTATCTATCTATCTATCTATTTATTTTTGCACCGGGATGCGGGTGTTACTAAAGGACAAAAAACAGTCACCCAAAGGGACTAATAGTGCGTGGCTTGTGTTGAAGAGAAGAACCAGTGAAAGAAATGAAAAGAAACTGGCTGGCCACATGAGATCAAGCAGGGAACATATCCCCTCGGATGTACACAGCAGCCATCAGGCCCCCTGAGTAGTAATTAGGAGGGGATGGTTAGCACAGCCCTGCTGCAGCAGTGTGCAGGGATCAAAGATCAGAACAGGAGCAGCCATTCACCTCTGACTTTAGGGATCAAACACTACAGGGCAAATTCTATACGAGCGTAAATGGGAAAATTGATTTAAAGTCCCTAGAGCTGCATCCTTTAATGTTGGCAGAGAGCTTAATGGAGAGGTCCTTGTTCTTCAGGAAGATCATAGCTTCCAGGACACCTGCCTCAGAGACCCTGTCCAAACGATGATTTTAAAGACAATTCAAATGCAAGGAAAGTGGGAAAGTGCCTTGAAGAGTTACTGGAGGAATACAAATGAGGAGGCAGAAATAAACAAAAGTACCAGCTGGAGAGCTCTGGGAGGGCACTGTGGGGTGATGACAAACAGATGAGCTATGTGCACATGAGGTGGGAACTGATGTGCACTTAAAGAGGACTGAACGGTTGGTATAAAAGAGAGTGAAATAATAAGATGGTGAACTTGAGAAGTACTGCAAAAATGCTTTTTTTTTTTTTTCTAACTGGACATTTTTGTGGCATTTGACCATAGCTAATGAAAGTAGGGAAGACATGGATCACCCTCTGCAGTTTGGCATAGCCATGAGACATCACTATTCTCATGGATATGAATTCACATGGTTTTGAAAGTTGGCTGGAGACCTCTGTGCTTGCCTTCTTCCACCCCAGGTTTTCTGTGGAGGGGGAAGGGTGGAAGGCTATGCGGGGAGAGGGTGCAAGGCCAGTGGGATCCTCACAGCTTTAACCTACCTTTTGCAATAGGAGAGAGCCTGAATACTTGGTCACAATTGAGTACAGCTCACCACCAAAGGCATCTGCCCAAGACTTAACCCTAAAAAGAAAAAAAAGGGAAAATCAGTACTAATAATTCAGAGGTAGTAGAACTGCTTACTTCTTTTTATAATGAAAACTCCATTTTCCTAAGTATGAAGCTCCTTGTATTTCTCAAACTTGTAGAATGGCAATAATAATGCTTTCTTCCCAAACAGTTAGCAAGACAAGCAGTAAGGAAGGTGATAAATGCTGATAAGCAGGACATTTGTCAGCAAGGAGTTTCAGTGAATGCTGCTGCCCTTGGTCACTGCCTGTTGATTCCAAGTGGAATTTGTCTCAACTCCCTTTAGAGGTGTGAAAGTTGTTGTCGTCTGGTTTCCTCTACTGTTAGTAAAGCAAAATAGTTCTCTGGAGATAATTGTCTTCACTGATTACAGACAGAGCCTTGAGTGAAGAGCTCACATCAAGACTGCTGAGCAGACATAAGTATCAGAGCTGAAAGAAGTTGTCAGGACTCACCACTGGATTCAGTTCCCAGAGCTGTGTGGGATAGAGATAATGAGCCAGATGAACTTACTGCTCTTAGAGGAGGTACTACAGCTCCATAATGCCAGAGAAGATTATGCACTTCCTCCTTGTAAAACACTACTCACATTTGTGCCATCCTGTAAATAACTGATGATAGCAATTCCACATGGAGAATATAAGGATGTTGAAGAGCAGCCTGAACACTGAGCCATCCAAGTGAAAATAGATGGCTCTCATAATTGACAGAGTACTTCATCAGAAATCTGTTACACGATTCACATTAGGCAGTTCCACCTACATGCAGTTCCATCAGCAAAAATTCACTTAGGAGTGATTTATTTAATGGAATAAATGGCCTTCGCTTACTAGCATGCACTACTTATTTATGGGCTGCAGCCTTACCTGGGGCTCTCAGTAGGTACCTCCCAGCCTTCAGCAGGCTTTAACTCCAAGTCCTGATTGCTCAGCACATTGCACCACTGTTAGGGCAGAGTAATACGCTGACAAAAAGATGAACACAGGAGCAAAGGCAGCGCAGCAATGGTGGAATAACCACAACATCTAACTTTAGCCGAGGAAGCCTGTCTGTTAGGCTCTCCTATTGTAAATGCAGGCAGACATGAGGGATGATTTCAAGCCACTGTAAAACTTTTGCCCTGAACAGTACCCCTTCTCAGTGCCTATGAAGGAAGCACAGTGCGAGTAAGTGCCCTTTGTGACTACTCCTCGATTGGGAATGAGGCACTCATTTCCATCTGCTGTAAGCATCAGCTGAAATCAGTAAGTACAGTTACATTGTTTGGACATTGTGGCCTATGTCTTGTTTTGACAGGCAGATTTTATCTCTTCACTTCATTCTTAGAGCAGAAAGGCTACAGGTACCTGGTAGGAGGCCAGGATTTACTGCTGCATTTCAGTTATTCTAGCAGTTTCTAGGGAAAGAATAGAGAAGAAAATACAAAGAGAGATGAGACCCTCCTGGATTGCTTTCCTGACTGTTGTAGTGATTAGCTTAATGCCTGAATAGCTATGAACCTGTGTTTAGCTTGACACAGCAGCTAGTTTTATAGCTCCTTTTTTGGTGTGAGATGTTCTGTGCTGACATTAACTAATACTCTCCAGATCTCACCTTCTACTGAAGAAAGAAAGAGCTTAAACATGAACTTTGGGATAGTGATTTTTACCCTATTTTCCTAAATAAAACAAATCAGAGGCATGTCATCCTACACTTTCTGTTTTGTTCTGTGTCTATGGCCATGCATGTGACCTTCTTCCTACCCCTTCCTGTAATTTTTCTATTCTGCAGGGTACAAGAGTCAGAGATATTAAGTTCATACCAGGGGGTGTAGTTGGACAGCTTCAGTAGAATGATGCTGCTGTTGAGACGATGGGTCTGCAATATGAGCTTAGCAATTACTGGTTGGTAGAGAAGCCAACCACAGGGCTTCGTGGAAAACCCAGCCTCATTGCTCAGGGAACTGCTGGGTTGTAAAACTCTGAAGCCACGCGATTATGTGGGATTCTCAGCTTTCATAGAAACAGGAAAAAGGAAGTTCATTTTTTAGCCTTTGAGGCCATGGCAAAAGAAGCCTAAACACATGAATGTTGAAACATCCAGTAACAGCATAACTCAGGGGAAAGAATGTATTGGGACTTAGGCATTTTCAATGTTCCTAAGCCTGTCCCAGAGGTGCTGAGTGTTTGCCTTAGGCTGCACACTACGGCCAAGTCTGAGCTGCCCTGCCTGTTGGGGGCTGATGTTCTGCTGATCCGCATGGTAAAACTCAGACTGTGAGGGACAGGCAACAGTAAGAGGAGGAGCTAAGGGAGAAGGATGAGTGACGTGGGGAGGGCCAGCACCTGGAGTGTGGGAGCAGTGGTGGAAAACCCAGAGGAAAGAGGAAAGAGAGGCTCTATGTGATAGATCTGATGAGTGGGGAATTAAAATACATGGTGCTGTTTCATGGGGGATGAAGAAAATGCATAGAGGTGGTTAGGGCAGGAGCCTGTTCCAGGTTGGTTTTCACCTTAACCACAGAAGTTCCTAACATTTCTGGCACCCTAGCAAAGAGAGGCTGAGAAGTCAGCCCAAACACTCAGTGCCCTTGCAGCTCAAGAAATCCCATGCTATGGCCAGCTTATAAATCAAGTGGAGGCCAGGAGAAAAGAGTAAGTGGTTTCTGTGCTGGATCTGTATCCCAGAAGCTAGCAATGTGCTGAGCAGATTTTTGCACTGCTGGAATTAAAGCCAGCAAAGAGGTAAGTTGGTGATGAACTGAGGGCAGTGCTGACTCTGGGGAGGCATGACTCTGGGGGCAGAAGAGGGTAACTTAGTTTTGTGTCACTTCACAGTGATCAAACCCAGCTGGTGCTTAAAAGCTTTTGGTTTTGTGTCCCCAAAATGTCCTCATGCAATCTGTGGAGCGGCTCCATTTTCTACTGATTTACTTTCTTTTCTCCTCTGGCCAATGTCTTCCTCTCTTGAAATTATATTTGAAAAGGGCAACTTTTCTGTTGCAGTCAAATTCATGAGTGGATTTGAAACACAAGGGATTAATTCAGCTGTTGGTCTGGTTTTGGCACTAGAGGAGAAAAGCTCTTTTTCTATTGTTTATTCTTTATTCTTGTATATGAACAAGTTCCAAATTGTGCAAAGTGACGCAACCATTTTCTCAGTAGTAAAGGGCTATCACATTATAACCACACGCATCAGAAAAGGATTTGGCCAGAGATTGCCTGCCTGTAATCCCTGCACTTGTATTCAGTGGTGAAAACAGCAGAAAGGACAGGCTGTCTTCATAATGCCACAGATTTCAAGGCCAAAAGGTATTTCCATGCAGCATTCACTCTGGACACAGAGAGTCAATTTTTGCATAGCCTGAAGCTGTTAGGGGTTGAATTTTATTCTACATTCGAGGTTTAATTCTATTTTTGAGGTTGAACTCTAATTTTATTTTACAATAGAGGTTGAAATTTATTTGATGGAGCTAAGAGAGGAAAAGAGAGGAACAATTTTAGGGAGAAACCACCTCTTTTGCTGGGAAGTTCCTTTCAGCTGGATTTTTGAAGTCCCGTAGAATCATAGAATCCTTAGAGTTGGAAGGGACCTTTAAAGGCCATCTAGTCCAACCCCCCTGCAGTGAACAGGAACACCACAGCTAGATCTGGTTGCCCAGGGCCTGATCCAGCCTGACCTTGGGTTCCTCCAGGGATAGGGCATCAACCACATCACTAGGCAACCTCTTCCAGTGCCTCACCGCATGCACTGTAAGACTTTTTCCCTATATCTAAACTAAATCTACCCATCTCTATTGCTATTAAAGAACATAGGGACACTGCTGCAGTTCAAAGGGAGCAAATGGAGACAAATGGGCTATGCAGAAGTGTGGAGTGGGCCGGCATCATTCTGTGTGGCTTCTGTGTCTTTTCTGTGGCACCACATCAGAAGCACTTTGCTGGGATAGGTTTTGGTGCGTGCAACCCTGAGTGGAGCTGGTGGCAAAGTGCCCTGGAGCCGCGTGCATGAAGTCAGTGCCATGCTTTGTAATCACAGAATCATAGATAGCATTGCCTAGGTTGGAAGGCACCTTACAGATCATCCAGTTTCAGCAATCAGGTGGGCCATGTTGGTGAGCACATCTGCAAGGGACCTGATGACACTTCTTGAATGCATAACACCTTCTCATTCTCAGCAAAAGGTGCGAGATGACTTTGGTTGGTCTAGCAGACGAACTTGAGAGCAGCATTGTCCCCTCCACACACTAACTACTCCCCTGCACTAATCATCCCAGCCCCAGAGCCGCTGCCCCACCAACTCTCCTACAGACGTTTTTAATCCTGACAGGATTTAATTTGCCTAAGTCAGTTTAACAAGGTGAGGCTTTCACAAGCTTGGCCTGCCAGGCATTCTGAGCCTCCTGGTGGACACCAAGGCAGAGCAGAGCAGGTGGGACAAGGGGTTGTGGGCCCTGTCCTCTGCTCAGATTCCCCTGTTGACATCCACATGAAATAAATACAAGTGTGCATAAGCATAAGATCCTTGCTTTTATCAGTTTCCGGTGCACTTGGCTAGTGCTGCTGATATATAAGGTAAAAGCAGCAGCAGGTTGGCTTTTATGCTGAGAGACAGGCCCTCACCCAACCACCCGTCTCCTGTGCCTCCTGAGGCAGGGTTCTGGCCACAGCTATCCCTGTGTGCTGCACAGCAGCACTCGTTAAAGCAGCCCTGAGCACGGGCTCTGGGCATGCCTACGTTTGGCTCCATGGCTGTATCACTGCAAGTTGCACCTGTGCTGGGATGAAGGTGTCCATGAGCTGGTTTTGCCTTCCACATCCTGGAGCATTAGTAGCTGTCTAGGTGCCTAACTAGAGCAGATGGGTGTCACTGCCCTGCGTGGTGAGCGGGGAAAATGAGGCTTCAGCACCAGTGCTAGCGCTGGGAGCTGAAGTTGTGGCTCCAGTCCTGTGTCCTTGCTAGCATCCATCACCACTGCTATTCGCATCGCCTGGAGGGAATGCCATCCCCCTCCCACCCCACCCCACCTCAAAATGAAAGGAAGCACTCACGTCTCCAGCGGTATCTTGGTCTGGAGCTGGGCGGCGGGCAGGAGGCAGAGGAAGCTGAGCAGCAGCAGCGGGATGGCCCCACGGTCCATTCTCCATGTGCCAGTCATCAGCGAGGGGCCCGGCCGGCGGGGTGTGTGGGATCCATGCCATTCCTGCCACCCTGCGGGGGTCCCTGTGCAGCCCCCGCCATGCTGCTGGCCCCGTGCCCCGAGCAATGGCTGCGCCAGGAGGCAGCTCTGTGCCCCGAGCTGCAGCGGCTACGTAATCCCCCGGCAGCCCCTTAATCCCCTGGCCAAGCAGCAGCAGCCACAGATTTAGGGAAGTGGAGTGGGATAAAATCACCAGGGATTACTCTGATTCCTGAAGACGGGTCTCAGCTTCTCCAGCCGGAGGTCAGGCCGGCCTGCTTTAAAGGGCTCACAGCTGCAGGACTAAAAAAGCCCCCCGACCTTTGATCTCACCCAGCCATAGCGTGGGATGCTGGGTACCCACTCTGGCACTATCACTTTGGGGTACAAGTGCTGTGTGGGGTTGAAATGTCCAGACACCTCATGTAGGAGAGATGAAAGGGAGAGGCAGTCAGAATGAGTACCCATTACCTGATCCCCTCCTCATGTGAGTGATGCTTTGTTAATAGCTGAACCTCTCAATTTGAGCAAGATTCAATTGAGATTGCCGTCCTCTAATCGGTGTCTGGAGATCAATGAATCAAAGGATGATGGCTGAATGTGATGAGCAGCAGCGAGCAGCAAAGTGCACAGTCAGATGAGGGGCACGCTTTGAAAGCTCATTATCATTGTGAGGAGTATGAATTATAAATAACTGTAGATATAGCAGTGGAAAGATATAAATGAGCAAAGTGACCTGTTGAACAGCCTGACTCTGCGGCTACGAGTTAGAACAACTTCCAGTCATCTTTTCCACGTTTAAAATGGTTTGTTTTCTATAAAATGCAAAGCCGCAATAGATCATTAGGTTTTCCATAAGAATGTGAGGGGGGAAAGTGACTTCAAACAACTGAAGTAAAATCAAAGCACTAGATGTGCTGCTGAATGCAGTGTTGGTGCCACATGTTAAATGGGACAATAGAAGTGGCTGAGAAAATACAGATAAGGGAATTAAAGGGTGATACATGGAATGGAGGTTAAGTGGTGTGATGCAAAGACTGAAAGCCCAGGCTGAGCAATTAAGTCATTACAGAGCTGACTCACCTCAGGATAGGCTGGTTTCTGCATTTACTGCAATCTTTACTCCAAACCAAATGTCTTTTAAGTTATGATCCTGTTCAAGCAGATGGTGGGTCTGATAGGGCTGAAATTTTCAGATGACATTCTTAAATCTATGCTGTGCAAAGGGTTACACAGGAAGGTTGAAATGACTCTTTGAGACTTTAAAATCTACCAAAAAAAAAATCAATTTCTGCACGTATAAACTCACACTCTAAAGACAGTGCCTTTGGGGTATCACATGGCTGTACTGCAAATGGCATTGTTAGCAGTTGAAGGTAACAGGTGGACAGGTCTAGATCATACCAGTACCTTTTTCAAATGGCCAAAATGTGCCATGGGGGCTCTCACCCTGACAAGGAATCAAGACAGATCTGGACTGCCCCAAGAGGACTCTTGGTGAGCATAGCATGGAGAAATGTCTTCCTCCAGCAATTACTCACTGCAGACAAGGGGTGTAATGTATTGCCTGTGAGAATGGAAGGAGCTGATCGCTCTTCCCCAGACTTAGAAGGTGGTGCTGGCACCAGGGATCCCAGGAATCATGGGGTCAGACAGCTGCTGCTTCCTCTTCCTCCTCTCTCTGCATCCTGAAAAGAGGAGAATGTTGTTCTAAGAGGGACCACGAAGACTGATCATCAAGGTCTCATTTCTCATTTACCAGGATTAAAAATGAGGGGTAGAGTACAGGCCTGGCAGGATTCTTGTCTGGATACTTCAGGAAGGAGACGATGAAAATTGACATTCTGAAAAAAAATCTGAGTGAGAGCTGAAGGCAGAAGAATCAGGGTTACAGACAACATTTTCTCTCCACTTTGCAAGGAGCAAAGAGTTATTTTGTGAGTGATTTTGCAGCATCTTTGTGTTAGCCTTGCCAGTCATTGTGTGCTATTTGCAGCGAGGACCCAGTTTAATCCAGATGGGTTTGGAAAGAGTCCTGCTCTGTGTTGAGCAAATCCTGAAGCACCCGTAGAAAAGGCAATGAGATGCAGCAACAATGCTAAACTGGGAGACCCAAATCCCTTTATTTGGATTGATCTTGTTTAATGGATATCACCTAACAGATATACCTCACTTAACCCCTTAATGACCTAAAGTTGCAAGGGAAGGGAATTTGAAGATGAAATAAAAACAGCAAAGAAAACTGGAAAACATCAGGTGCCTAGAGAGCCCTTAATGGGATTATCGTGTGTGGAGGTGCTTCTGCAGAGCTCAGCACTGTGCTGTGTGAGCATAGCTGAGGCACAGGAAGGAGATAAATGACAGCAGGGTCTCGTTGGAGAAGAAGAAAATGAGTCCTATGAGAAAGAATGAGAGAAAATCCTTAATGAAGTGTGAGAATCTGAGAAAGGTTGCAAGAGACGTGGGGGCAGAGAGAGGAGCAAATTAGAGATACATCTGCTAGACCATGAGGCAATAAAAAGTGCCAGTGTGATTTTGTGCTGTGTTCATAGATATAGGGAAGATTTACCACCTCTGTTTGTTTCTGGTTTTACTAGAACCTCAGGTCAGTTTGGATTATCATGCTAGGAGAAGGTGCTGGCAAGTGTCAAGATCAGCCAAAGAACAAATGTAGTCAGAACACTGGTTTAAGCAGTGTTGTAGTTGAGTTTGTTACAGACTCTAGAAATCTTCATTTGTTTAATGCATTCACATGATGACCCTAATCTGGGAATGCCTGAGCAGACTGAAGTGCAGTCTTATAGCAAGATAAATACAGAAAGAAAGGGATAAAACATGGAAAGGGAAATTCTACACTGAGCATCATAAAAAGCTGATCAGAAAGTTCTGCCATGCATGGCACAGCCTCTTAAGGCAGCCTCTCTCCTTGCAGCACAGGTTGCCAGGGCACAACTGGTAGCAACCAAGCTTCTCTTTGTCAGAAAACCAGCTAGAATGGGGGACAGGACAGCAGCCCTGAACGAAGTGTGCAGCTTCATGGAGATGAAGTGCAGATGAGGCAGTGCCTCAGACCCCTTGGGCATTAAGTTCCTCCTGATGCCAGGCTTATCTGCCTGAAGCTGGTCACCAGATACTTCCTCCCCGTGGCACTATGGAATGCATCTCCCATGTAGCCCAAGCAGCAGGGCAAGGATGATTCCCGTTCTTCAGGACAATATCTTGGGGCCTACATGGAGTCTGCACTGTGGATATCAGGACTGGGAAGAGGGTGTAGAAGATAGGTACAGCCTTGGTTTTCATTCTGGAGGCATTTGCTGCATGTTTGCCAGCACCTCCAAGCAAATATTTGCTGTACCATTATCCTGAACTTAAACCAGCATCATAGCCTAATAAGAATTATTTGCTTTGATTTTCAATAACTTAAAACAAAGAACGATGGGAACAAAATACTTGATCTTATTAAGAGCAGATACATTTATCTGAGCTCATAAGCTCTCTGTCTCTCTCACACCAGGACACCAGGTGTCTGGGTATAGAAATTCCTTTCCACCCTGCTCAAACATTGTGCTTGAAAAGCTCCTTTCTCAACAGTGCTGGAGCCTGCATCCTGTTTGGGAGATATGAGGACGATGTCTCTGGCCTGTCTGAGGAGCTTTAACTGTTCCCTGGTGTGGTTGGAAGGCAGCTGTGAGGTGTTTTGCCAGCAGCAGGGAATCTGATCTGCCTGTCCACAGCTGCCAGGAAGAGGGGACCCTTGCCAGAGGTGGTGTTGGAAAAGCACTTTTATTTGTGGTCTTACTGGCTGGCCATGCAAATCTCTTCTGATCAGGTTTCAGAGGAGGGTTAAAACTGCAAGCCGACTTCACAGAAGAGTGGATTTACTGGGTGAAAAGGGCTGCAGACTTGCTCCTACAGTAGTGTTGATGCTGCAGGCAGGCCCCAAGGCTGGGGGCTGGGAAGTGTCCTTATCCCCATCCCCGCTTCTATCCCAATCCCTGTCCCCTGTGTGCGCTGCCCTCCCTCTGGTCTGACTGTGTCAGAGCTAGCACTATCCCACTGAGCTTCAGATGCTGCAGCTCACTGGGCCAATGCTGTTGAGTGACCAGTCACATGGAGATCTTGGTATGAATACATACAGCACGTACAGAGTGCCTCACAGATCTCTGCAGAGTACAGATTCACTCTTAGTGTAGCTCCTGGGGTACAGGCAGGTCTACACCCCCACAATTCTCCATTTCAAGTTACCTCAGGAGCAGTGAACAATGGATGCATGTTTGGCCTACAGAGCTTCCCCATGTCAGCAGGACTCTGGGCCAACATGGCCTTTCAGACCTTCCTTCCACCGCTCTGCAAATATCTGCCTGCAGATCGCTCATCTCAGCTGCATGCTCTGCATGTTGTTTATAGAAGCAGACATGTAGGTGTCACATTAATTAATGCCTTTGCCTGGTTACACTGTCTTTTTTCCTTTTATTTTTTTTTCCACAGCTGTACTCTAAATTTAGACTTGTTTAAATACTCCATGTTGAAACAAGAAGAAAGGAAAAAAAGAAATATGAACAGAGGTGTTCAATTTGAAGAGAACTGTGAACAGACAGCTGCTTTCCTGGGTCAGGGTAGCCAGAATGAAAGTCAATTTAAGCCCTCTCCCTCTACTACCAAGGGGTTAAACTTAATCTTTTCCATTTCAAATCCACATGACTTGAAAGAACTTGATTAGGAGGAAGGGAAACCCCATTTTGAAAGGGATTAAAGCTTTCCTGGTAAAGTAGCTGCACTAGAACAGCTTTTTTGAGGGAGGAGGCTTCGCTTCCTGGGGAGCCCCAGGAACTGCAATGCACCAAGTGACTAAAGAAATGATGCCACTTAATCTGCTAATCTCCACAGCCACAAAAACACTTGACTTAGTGCACGTCTCACAGCATCTTTCGTGCTGCCAAATCCTTTACGTTAAACGTGTC